CTTCCCCTCCCCCTCCCCCTCTCCCCCCCCTCAAGCTTCGCACTAACCCTCAACCTCTCCGCCTCCTCCCTAGCGGCCTGTTCCCTCTCCTCCGCCGTCCGTCGCCCAGCACGCGGTATAAACTTCGACGCCGCCCTCGGCGCAGCATTCGCGCCCCTCGCGCCCCGTCCCCTCAGACTCTCGAGCCTCTGCACCGCCGGCCGCGCTGTCGTCGTCGTGCCGCCCATCGGCGCTACAGGCGCTGTGGATCCACCACCACCTGCAGCCCCGGAGGTCGTAATGGGCGTGGAGGCAGGTGTCTCGGTCGGTGGTGACGCAGGCGACGTGTTCGGTGACGCCATTTCAACATCCGGTGTTGCTGGTACGCCATGCGCGGCGTCTACGCTCGCGGGCGTGACTCCCGCGCCGCGACCTCGTCCTCTTCCTCTTCCGCGACCGCGACCCCTGCCACGAGTGGTGGTGGGAGCTTCTTCAGGCGGCATGGTTGTGTATCCGGATTATGGGATTGGGGTATATTTCGTGGTTGAGGAGGAGGTAATGGTTCACGCCATGAGAGGTTTGATGATAGTCAATGGGTGCTGTGAGCGTGGTGGGGTACAATCGATGCTGTGAACTTTTTGAACAGGGGTGGTGTGCGACTAGGATGGATGGGGTTAGCGGCGCATGGGAGGGAGGCTTGGCCGAATTGGGGAATTTGCGACAACATGTATTGGCAAGCGCGGGGCAGGAATGGGCGGAATTGGGCGGAAATAGCGGGATTAGCGATATGGAGGGAGGTACTCTCTAGCGGTTCAGTCGCTGACGGTAATATGTGAGCACAAAGCTGGAAAGATGTAATAAATATAATATTATTTATTGCTCTATATATCCTTCTATATTCAGTCGTAATACATATGTCTTACCACAATACACTGCTGTGATACCCTATCATTCAGTACAATACAGAAAATAACTGTACCTCCACACAAATTAGCGCGCTCTCACGTGATTTACCCTGCCAAATCTAGACACAGCCAGAGAGCTTTATATCAACCAGCGCTCCGTATCCCTTGACCCCGAGAGATGAGATATACAGTACCCTCCTAGGTACTAGGCGGTAACCATACAACGGACAGCTGTGATAGAGCAACTGTCCCTATTTTTTAAGAATGGTTGACGATGGATCGAAGCGCGAGGGACAGCCGCCGTCCTCCTCTCCTCAAGCTGCCCTCCCACCACTAGACTTCATGGACGTTGTGTCTCCAGCTTTGCAAGTTGGCAGTTTAACCGGTTCGTTCACCACCCTTTCAATTGATTCATTCCCAGACATGGTCGTTCCTCCGCCTGTCTACTTCCCCTACACCTCGTCACGTGTCTCCACCAACCCTCGACGAACAATATCCAGACACCCCAACTAACACCCACCCCAGGCGTATCCGGCCTCCTCTTCGGCGCCGTCAGCGGCGTCCTGCGCTCAACAACACCCACCCTATTCGCCATAGCATCAGGCCTCCAATGGTTCACCCTAGGCTCAACATTCTGGGGTAAGCCCCCCCCATCCTTTCCCCCCCTTCCCCCCTCTTTTGAAAGTACCCTCTTCTAACACCCCCCCCAGCAACACGAACACTACTCCTCCACGAACTCCGTGCCGAAACCGGGGAATCCGCACGCAAAATCTCCGCCAGCGCCATAGCCGGCGGCGTCAGCGGCGGGATTGGCGGGCTCTTGCGTAACTCTCCCCCCCCTCAATTTGACTTGCCATTGAAACCACGTCTAATATATGTATAGGAAGCAGAAAGAACGTCCTCCCCGGCTCCCTAATTTTCGCCACCTTCGGCGCCCTCGGGCAGGCGGCATATAACTACGCCGACGCGCGCGAGGGGCGGAAAGTCGGCGATGGGGGTAAGGAGGAGGGAAAGGGAGGGTGGTTGAATTCGAGGTGGAGTCCTGTGAAGGCGTTGTCGGATGAGGAGTATGAACGGATATTGGAGGAGAGGTTGTTGAGGCTTGATGCGGAGATTGCGTTGGTGGATGAGAGTATTGAGGCTGTTAAGAGGGGGGCTGCTGATGCGAAGACGGCGGCTGTGAGTGCGAAGGTAGAGATAGAAGGGAAGAAGTAAGCGGATGATGTGTCTGTGAGGGGGGGGGGGTATGATATTACTAGATGGAAAGGGGCGCGAAGGAGATTGTATCATAGTACAGAGTTGTATCATAGTAGATCATAGTAGACAGACAAAAAAAACCATCATATCAGGATAATTATACTCCGAATTTGGCTATAGAAACACTTATTTTTTCTCGGAACGGGAAACCGACATATAATCTCTCAAAGTCCCAATTCAACAACAACAACAGCAAAACCAATAACAAAAAAGCCCATAAAAAACCATCCTCCCATCCAACCCCCCCCCTTCCCAACCCCGATCCTTGTAAACAATGAACGATCTTGCCCTGTCCCAAAAAATAGAGTTACCCACCCCCATCACCCCTCAAGAGTTACCCACCCCCATCAACCCCAGTACCAACCACCCACACACACCCATTGAGCGACCAAGATACAAATCCCACGCCTCAGATCCCAACCTGCAAATGATATAACAGAAAGACTAAAAGAGTAATAAACAACAGCACAGCAGCAGCACAAGGAAAAAGGTGTAGTAGTTTTCATCCGGTCGTTAAAAAGTGTGTTAAGAGTGTTTTTTGAAAAACAAAAAAAATGAGTGTCTATGGGCTACCGAGCCCCGATATGTGTTGTCCTTAACGCCTGCCTGGTACCAGTACAATCAAACAGCAAAGGAAAACAAAAAGTAGTAATAAAAGAGCTCGCGTAAATGGAGCAGATAGTAGTAGCTGCTGCTGTGTGAGCGTAGTGGTGTAGTGTCGATAAAAGCTTATACTTGAGAGGGCGGCACCGAGATGCTCGATCGATCGATCGATCGACCGAGCAAGAAACACACGCCTATCTCTTCCTCTTCTTATTCTTATCAACCCCCCCCACGGTGTTCATCGCCATTTCCAGCGGGTAACCCCCATTCGCCGCCGCGGCCTCCATCTCATCCTTCTTCACCTTGACGCCCATATGGCGTCCATAGCGCCCCTTCCGGCCATTCCCCTCATCCTCGCTAATGCACTGATCAGCGCTCAACCCAGCGTCCTTGCAGCGCTGGCACGGGCGCTGGCGATCACACCCCTTCTTACTCTTGCGGCAGCGCTGGCAGCGGGGTTTGGAGGATAAGTCCTCCTCATCCTCGCCTAGCTGGTGCTGGAAGTTGATGGCGGACGTGACAGAGGTCTTGCGCGAGTGGGCCGCGGTGGAGGCGGGGGACATGGGCTGGCGGCCCACGACGGAGGCTGCTTTGGCGACCTTCACCTTCGTCGCGTTGGCGCCGCCAGGGCGCTGAGTAGTCTTGCTGGGCTTTGCGGACTTGGCGCGAGGCTTGCTAGGGCCCTGGGAGCGGGCGCGGGCTTTGTCGCCAAAGGCGAGACTGAAGTTGTTGGGGATGTCGTCGTAGACTTCTGGCTTGAAGGTTGCGTCGCGGCCGTCGTCGTAGTCCTCGCTCATCTCGCTGTCTTGGCTGGGCAGGTTGTCGTCCATGTGCTTGCCGAATCGCTTGACGGCGCCGGGTGGCAGGATGGGGCTGTGTTCGAGCTTCTGGCGGCGAGCTGGGGGGAGCTCGTTTTCGCTCTCGCTCTCGGACTCACTGGTGGCTCCGGTGGAGGATGCGGCGTCGGCGTGGCCGCTGAAGGTGTCGTCGAGTGTTGACGCGGAGGTTCGGCCGTGGGAGTTGTTCGACATATCGCCGAGTCTCATGAGCTGAAGAGCTACGTCTTTGTCTTCTTCAGACATGCAGCTGCCGATCGTGGGATCGGGTGTTGGGAGTATGCCCGAGCTGTTGCCGTTGGGCGTGATGTTGGTAGACCCTCGCGAGGGTGGGTATGTAGGGCCACCTCGGGTGCGTCGCCCATCATTGTTGGGTGTCGTGTACATCCCAGGCTGCGCGAAGCCGCCGTTATAGCTTTGTGGAGACTGCAAGACTTGTGGGTGTGCGAATGCGTGGTGTGCTGGTCGTGTGAATGGCAGAGATGCCCGTTGGTTTTCCATGCGCCTGGCAGGCGACACGGAGGAGTTCGATGTAGCCGCAGGCATCTGGGGAGGAGCAAATAGTGGGAGCTCCTACATAATATAAATTAGATTCCATTTGATAGATGAAGGGGCTTGCGTGGAGGCATGGATGAACTTACAGAGCTCTCAAACTTGGCGCGCTTGCGCCTGCCGCCCTCGACGATATTATCGAGGCTGATTTCCGTGTTTCCAAGGTGCTCACTCTTGGTCTTGCTGGATACAGAGCAAGGAGCACCATCGCCGCTACTATAGCCGTTGACTCCATCGCTATAGATATCTGCAAAGCTGCCGTGCGCACTGGAGTTTCGACTCTTGTACCCCGACTGGGACCTCGCCTTCTTGTTGGGAGGATTGGCGCTTGCCGACGCACTGCGACGGCCGCGACCAGAGTTCGGGGAGACGCTTCGTTTGCGTGATGCCCTCGAGTCTGGTCGAGGAGCAGGCTGGCCGTAGCTTAGAGCTTGGGCTGGCTGCGGTGGAGGCATGTGGTGGCTGTTGCCATTGTAGTGGCCCTGTTCGCCCGTGGTGGGGGAGACAGAGTGATATGACATCGGCCCGTATGTAGGAGAGACATGAGGGGGGGATGCCTCAATGACACGAACGTAGACGTTCATGTTGTCTCGAAGGTTCTCGTAGCGCGCAATGAGGGTATTGCCTCGCTCGTCTTCAAAAATGATGCCCGTCGGGCCGCCCGACCCGTTGTATAGGCCATAGAAGTTTTTGACCGTCGTTATAATCGAGTCTGTAGTATCGTGAGGGTATATTTGGACTCGCATTGGTAGGCGCGCACGGTATTGCGGCCTCTCCGGGACGAGAAGTTCGAATGCGACGCTCTTCGGGGTCGGATTGGGGACTGGCGACTGCATCGAATTGTGCTGCACGGCTGCGCTATACTGAGCATCACCATGTACGCTGGGAGGCGTGATCAATCTTGCATCACCGGCTGCATCGTGGGCAGTCATCGTGCCGGGTGTATAGGGTTGTTGGGAATTCGGGATGTGGAAAGTCGCTGGGAGACACTGTGCTCTTGCAGGTCCGTCACCGGCCGGACAACCCACTGCGACGAGGAAAGAAAGAGCGTTGAGAAGAACCTCGGGCTCTGGGGGGGAAATGCAGCCGATTTCTCGATCGCGTAACCTCCTGGAGGGATATAACTTATAGATAGACTCCAAAGGTTTGGTTGTGGTTCCTATCGAAGCATCGGGTCGAAGGCGTATGGGTCGGGGATTTCGTTCTGGAGGGAAGATGAAGCGTCAGTAACGGGATTGGCAGGAAAGGGATGGAGAGGATTGTGATAGACTCGAATGCGTCTGGACTGCAAAAGCGATGGGATTCAGAAACATACCTTTTGCTGGATTGTCGTTTTTGGTTGTTGAGGGCGAGTTGGCGTCGGTGTGTGGTGGTGTTGAAGAGGAGAAGCTGTCAGGCACACAGGCGAGGATCCATTGTGTCTCGCTCGCTCGTCTCAGAGACCATCCATCCACATAGCAGCGATTTGTGCACGCTGGTTTGGGAGCGTCTGCGCCAATAAATTTGAATTTAGAGTGGAATATTGTTGGCGGCTATGTATAATTAATCATTTTAATTTACGGTTCTTGGATTCTGTTTACAGTATTTTACATGGTGGGTTTCCCATACAGTTGATTTCCCAACACAGAGAGACTGACTGACCGTCTGGTATGTACGGCGCATACGAGCAGACGGACCATGGGCAAGGAAGTACTGTCTATCACAACCATCTCGAGTAGCACGATACGGCAGATCACAGTGCGAGGAAGGTTACGTCTTTCACGTTCTTGAGATGAATATTGATAAGTGTACAGGACGGCAATAGGGGCAGATTTGTTGGTCCTGCAGTCACAGCCAGCAATAGGGATATATATGCCCCTCATACTGTATATAACTACGGGCTCCAGCAAGAGCAAGGGCAGCTTCATAGTGAGAACCCCCAGTGATCAACATCGCAGTGATGGACGGCGCATCGGACGGGCGCAATTGTCAGACAGAGAGAGAGCGAGAGGGAGCCAGGCTCTATTCCGCTCCATCCGCGCGCGCATGCTTGCATCACTGGCAGTCCAGCCACGGGAACTGGGCCCCTTCCCTTCCAGAGCGTCTAAGTTGTGCCTGCTTACTTACCTTATGATTACTACTTGTAGGAACAGACAATGGACTGACTGACTGACCATCAGACTCAGCAATTCTAGCAGCAGATCTTAACCAGCTTGTTTTTACGAGTACCTTGTTCACGCCGCAGCAGGCGCAAAGATGATGGGCTGAGGTGGCATGTGGACCAGCCAATGATGCCATGCGCCACGCCGCGAAGCATGGATTTGACACACACACGAACACACGCACGCACACAGAGAGATATACCTATACACTGTACACACACACAGACAATAGATAGGATGCGCGGGTGCGCGGGTGGGGTGGAGTAAGTGAGTAAGTGAGTGAGTGTGGGTGTGTGTATGAGTTGTGTGAGTGTGAGCAGGATTACGTGTGGGTGTGGGTATGCGGGTGCGTATGGTATGGTATGGTATGGTATGGTATGGTATGGTCGTATGTGTGCGCATGGGTTGTGTCTAGTAGAGTAGCTGGGGAGTGGGTGGGAATCGAGGAGAATAGATTGGTTAATCGATGGTTAATGGTCAATCAATGGTCAATAATAGTAGTAGTGGTGGGATGTAGTGGTGGTGGGTGCAAAGCAAGACAAGAAAACAGGTCAGGATAGACACGGAACTATTGAACTATTGAACTATTGGAACTATACACCGTCTTGTATACACCGCATATACTGTACATATCATTACCATTACCATAACCATACCATACCATAGCCATCCGTATCTTCACTTGCTCTCTCTTCCTTCCGAACTTGGTCCAAAGTTAAAACCTTCCCCTTGCTTCTTCTAGACGGAATAAATGGCCCCCCTTCCCATCCCATCCCATATCCATCCCTTCTTTCCCCTCCTTCCATCGTTCGTCGTTGCCGGTGCCGCTGGTCCATGCCGTATCATCTGACGGCCGCCGTTTCCAGGGCCCCGCCAATTCTCCCAATGGACCACGTCCATCCATTCATCCCGTCCATCTCCAAGAAAATGCCCCTCATTAACCCCCAAGCCCACATAAACAGTCGCATCACTTTTCTCGTTGTCGGTATGCTTGAGTGGTCAACTATTACAATTACAGTATATAGTTATACGCCGTTAGTTTAGTTGTCCCTCCTCTGCCTCTCATCCTCCCCTCTGTGGTCCCTCTGTGGTGAACTCCCGACCCCTGGGTCACTACGTAAGGCGGCCTGGGGTGGGACGGTGGCGCCTAGGGGCAGAACTGGACCGCCACACTAAGGCCCTGTGCTTGCGCTGTTGGTGTGCGACTCGAAACAGAGACAGAAACCGCACCATTCCCCATTTTGCGCTTGTCGAAAAGAAAAGAAAAGAAAAAAAGCAATGGTCCTCCCTTTTCGCGAAAGCAAACAAACAACAACGCCTAGCACTTACTTACCCCCCTTGGCTCTACTTTACTTTGCCCGTGGCCCGCTACAGATCTCCGCCCCAGCGACGACGCGAGTGGATGGGGGCGCTTCCCGTTTCCCGATTGCCGACCCCGTTTCTGGCCCGAGTGCTGATGATGTGTCGGCGAGGCCTGCGAAAGAAAACTAAAAGAGTCTGCTGCCCCTGCCCCGGCGGCTACAAACACAAGTCATTGGTAATTCTCTGTCGCGCTGCCATCGCGACGATTGGCTGTGGTTCCATCCATCGGGGCGCATCCAATTAATATGGATACTCGCGCCGTTCGAAGGGGGAAACGGTGCATAGCTGAAGAATGATACAAGTAATTTAAGCTGGTGGATTGCCCTTCCTGGCGTCATCTCCGAGCAAAACTGCTGTTTGAAAGGCTACAATATGACGACCGTCGCCCTGGGTGATCTAGAATGTCTAATCTGCACATAATTCTTGTAAACGCTGGCTCCTATGCCCAGTCTCTCTCCAAGCTTTTGAGCGGCACACGGGTACTGTCGCATCATCTCCCATGACGATGTGCCATTAATTGCATCACGTGACGGCGCGTCCCGTTGTCCCTTCCGGACGCGATATACGTCATCCCCACTATGCCGGCGTTAAATCCCAACCACGACGCAATATGCAATTATAGAAGCCAGAAAATCGGTTTAATAAATACTGTAAATAATAATTCACCATTTGCAAATTAATTTTCCCCCATATCGAGTTGTGCCGATTGATTATGAGAATTCCCCGAAAAATATTGTTTAGTTGTGGGACGCGCCTAACTTTCCCCACGGCAACGCTTATCCCAAAGTAGCCGAAAGTAAACATAGTAAACACCACCCAAATCTGGGGACCGAGCTTCATCCCCTTTGGGAGATTCGATCATCTTAATCCAGCTCCACAACAAAACCAATGTCTTGAATAACATCAACATCAATCAGGTATCCGTAGGGACTTGGCTTGGTTCCTGTCATTCATCAACATAATCTTCTTTTCTTCTTCCTTTCCCAATCGCCAGGCCATACACACACGCCTAATTGACATCCTCCTTTCGTTGTCTGCTACGAAAAGGAGTTCGATGATCAACAAGCTTTAAGTCGACCTTTGACGCGACAAACACCAATTTCTCGACGCCTCTTTGCACTCTCCCTCAATCGTTGTTTATACGCCTAACAATATCAATTCCGAGCGGGAATTTTGCAGTCATGGACGCGAAGGTAAGATTTGTTTTCATTCTTGTTATTGTTTTGATCCGAACTCATCAACCACAACAACATCGACATACCTTCCCAATTGCCAACGAAACTTGACACGCCTCTGACTCTTCACTCATACCTGGCACAATATATATTTGGCAACACCATCTATCGATCTCTCTTGCTAACAACTTTTCTCCAACAGCCGCATCGTCGGGGTCTCTCCCACATCCACAACGACGAGAACGCAGCTCCTGTATCGAAACAATTGCACCAACGCCACAAGTCGACTGGAGCATTGTATCACACCATGTCTGCTGCTACTGGCCTGAATGCTGTTGCTAAACGTGCTGCCTTTGGTGATGTGAGCAATACCTCTCGTGCTCTCAATCACGCAAAGGACGATCTTGTTGTTTCTGCCAAAGGCAATGGCACTGAGTATGTCAAGCTCCAAGTGCTGGAGAAAGAAAACGCACTCAGCCGTCCTGCCCAACGCCCACTCACTGCGACTGTCAAGAACACCATTTTGGGGCTCAACAGAGCCAACCAGTCGGCTCTTCCAACCACAACAAACAAAATTTCTGCTGTCCCTTCGGTCATCCCAACCCAGGTCGTGAGGCCACGAGCATCCTCAAAGCGCATCACAGCTATCTACAAAGATGAGAATTCTGTAAAGCCCCAACAGGCAGCAGAGCCTGCAAAACAACAAAATGTCCCAATCGCTTCAGCTCCAATCCCACCAGTTCACCAGACACTTGGACCACGCCACCACAAGAGCCAACCGCAGTTGAAGCTCGACCAGCCTGTCCTTCGTCGGACGCAGAGCAAGTACATGTACAATGTATTGCCAACCGTTCTCAGCGACTCCATCCCCTCGTCTTCGAGCATTAGCTTCAAGGATGCTCCAGTCGCAGAGGAGCCAAAGCTGCCATCTGTTGCAGATAATAGCTACGACTACCAGTCCTATGATGCCCCTGTCCAGTCGCTGGTCAAGGCCGACCCGATTGCTACTGAAATTGCTGTTCCTACTACCGACGAGTATGTTCCAGAAGAGCGCCTGCTTCCAGCGCTTCCTTCCGAGCCCGAGGAGTATTGGGAGGAAGAGGAGGAGGTTTACGATGAGCAAGGTTACACCACCGCCCACTCTTACAGATCTCGTGGCGACAACACTACCGGCGGAGCTACTACAGTCATGATTCCAAAGCTCAACAGCAAGGTTGAGAGAGAGCTTGAGGCCGCCAAGATGATCGTTGAGGGCTCAAGAACTCGTGAGGAGATTGAAGATGACATGTGGGATACCAGCATGGTTGCCGAGTACGGAGATGAGATTTTTGGGTACATGAGAGAACTCGAGGTTAGTGCTGAATTTTTTATTTGTTGTGATTTTCATTTGTCGAGGAGCTGATGTTGACGCGACCCCCGGCCCGGCCCTCGTACACGTCACGGTTGACGCCGCAACACCCCCTGTTTATTTGTTTACTATAGCACATGATGAACCTATACTAACCAACCACAATTTTAGATCAAGCTGGCCCCAAACCCACACTACATGGACAACCAAGCTGAGATTCAGTGGTCCATGCGCTCTGTTCTCATGGACTGGCTCATTCAAGTTCACCATCGCTTCTCGCTCCTTCCCGAGACCCTGTTCCTTTGTGTCAACTACATTGATCGCTTCTTGTCTCACAAGATTGTGTCTCTTGGAAAGCTTCAGCTGGTTGGCGCCACTGCCATCTTTGTTGCCGCCAAGTATGAGGAGATCAACTGCCCTTCGGTGAGCGAGATCGTCTACATGGTTGACGATGGATACTCTGTGGATGAGATCCTCAAGGCCGAGCGCTTCATGCTTGGTATGCTCGACTTCGAACTCGGATGGCCGGGACCAATGAGCTTCCTCCGCCGCATCAGCAAGGCTGATGATTACGATCTTGAGACCCGCACTCTGGCTAAATATTTCCTTGAGGTGGCTATCATGGATGAGAGATTTGTTGGAACTCCTCCCAGCTTTGTTGCTGCTGGTGCGCAGTGCATCTCTCGCATGATGCTGAAGAAGGGTGACTGGGTAAGTCTAGGCCTAAACTAACAACATTCTGTGCATGCATACTAATTTTATTAGACTCCTGCACACGTGCACTACTCCGGCTACACCTGGACGCAGCTTAGACCTCTCGTGTCTCTCATGCTGGAGTGCTGCCGCAACCCTGAGAAGCACCACGCCGCCGTCTTCGACAAGTATTCTGATCGTCGATACAAGCGTGCCTCCGAGTATGTGAAGACCACCATCGCATCGGGCTTCAAGCTCCCTCTCGCTCTCCCAGACTACTCTCTTCCCTCCCGCGGAATGATTGGCGACTCGGATGGCTTCATGCCATACGACTCATACTCGTCTCCCCACGGCATCTACAACAACAACAACAACAACATGGTTCAGGTCAAGGGCTAGATTCAGCGGCCGCATCAATGTTCGAGCACAATCCGTACATTACTCTACGTATTTGTATAATTTTTCATTATTCGCCAGGTACGGCAGGCATCGATGTCCTATTACCAATTACGGCATCTTCGCCTCGCCCGCGTCTGCGTCTTATCACCCGTCATCAAAACTAAACATCGCTCTCACACGCCATTAGAACATACTACCACTACACGGAGTACATAATTTCCTTACTATTCGAAAACCATTACGACTCTCTCCCTGGTTGTCGGAAGACCACTACGGGTCTCGACAACAACAATTCGCATACACCGCGCGCTTTTTTTTACTTTTCCCATGGCGTTTGCTGTCAGAGATCGGGCCGGCGTTTACGACACGATACCACGAGACATGATTCTCCTTTGCATTTGAACTGGAACCTCTTTTTCTTAATTAAAAAAACACTGGGATGGACTACTGTTGGCTTCTTCTGGCTGGTGGTGTGGCTTGTTTCCGAGGGGGGGTTTTTTGCCTCTTCTTCCATGTTTGTTATGGGCTGGCGCTCTGGCGGGTTACTTTTGTCTTCTTCTCTCTTTTCATTCGGATGGGGGAAAGGGAGGAGGGAGCTCTGGAGGGTGGATAGGCGGTATAATAGAATAAAACCTCCGTTCAGACCCATTTAAGTTGATGATCTTATGATTTTGATTTGGTGATCTGTTTGTAATGGTCTTAATTGGCATCAGGGATTGTATACTGTATGTCACAGCAGTCTTCAACACACCCATTTCACTACCAGTTGATGTCTAAGACTGTCACTGCGATTTCTTATTCAGGTAACAAAAAGTACAGTGTGTCATGGTTTACACGCCTGGATCGTGCACCAAGTCATGCACGACAAATTCCATTAACAACCGCATCCCTGTTTAGTATCGTAGCTCCTTGGAAACCCAGGTGCCGAGCCGTCTTAGTCAGAGGTACACACACATACACATACATACTGTGCAGTACTATCGTAAAAGACGATGAGGGTTAGAATGCAGCGGTGCGGGATAATGAGGAGTAACATTTGACTGATAGTGGATTGAAAAAGCCCTCTGTAATACCCCATAATCTGTGGGTTAGTGTATGGTGTTTACTTCTTGCAAGTCACATGGTCATCTCATTCTCTAACAAAGCACATGTGAACAAATGGCGGGATTGGGGTAATTTAACTAGAGAATACGTGTACTTTCTACTGCCCTACAGTAGAAAGTATAGTATATACCAATTATACCTGTACAGAGAAGCAGGAACGCGTAAAATATATTACTCACAAAAATCTAACGGGTTCAACTAATATAAATCCCTTATAATATTTGCTTTTTTCCCTTTTCCTTTTTACCCTCACGCCACGTCCTCCCCATAGCAAACCAAAAAAAACCCCACACAAATCCAATTTTCCCTTTTACCCCCCATCCATGCATGTTTCTTGGTTGCGCCTTCCCAAGTGGCGCTATCCCGCATTAGATTGGCGCAGGGTGGCGGCATCCGACGCGCCCGAGGCCCTAGGTAAAACACCCCCCTCCTCTGATTGGTCCACCCCACCGCGACCCTCGCCGAAAGCACAGGTCGCGAAATACTTTTTTGTATGGAGACCCCGTGGGCGAACTCGTTAGACTGACTTTGGGGCTAAACTTACACCGCGGCCGACCTCGGAATTTAGAGGGACAGAGAGAGCACAGGGAGCACTTTTTGATTGCATTTGCTGCTTATCCATTCTTTTACCCTCAACGACCGACGCCCTTTTTCAGCGATTCTGTTTTTTTTTTGCAATTGGTGTAAAATACGAGGCTATTTAATTGCCCTGCGTTTTGATTCGAGAGCGCGGAGACCGTGGTTTAGAATTTCTGCGAGGCTGGGGCTTTTTGTGGCGGGATTTACGACTCAGAGGTCGCCTCTTCCTCCGACACTTTTGGGGATTATAGACTCTGCTCGCACGAACACTTCACGACGTGAAATCCGCAATCATGGCGACTGTTCGTGATGTTGTCCCCGTGGCCTCCAAGGTCAAGGAGACTGTCAAGGAGACGCTGTTGGGCTCGGAAGAGCCGGCGCAGCTGTCGGCGCATACGCAGGCTACCTTTTTGAAGCACGCGCATCACGATGAGGCGGCGGGAGAGCTGGTGATGACCGAGTCCGAGTTTGTCGATGCGATTGCGCCCAAGAAGGAGGATTATGTGAGTTTGCACCACCACCACCACTGGATACGCGTCGCGGGCTGTTTGAATTGGGAGGCTAATGACGCATAATTATCTAGCATAAAATCAAGCGTGAACAATATGCGATACTCTTCCGCGTGGCGGACAGGAAGGGGGCAGGGCAGATAACGTTACAAGACTACGGCGCGTTCGAGAACCTGCTCGCGAAGCCGGATGCGGAGTACGACATCGCCTTCCGCCTGTTCGATGTCGAGCGCGAGGGGACGGTCAAGTACGACCAGTTCAAGAAGCTGTGTGAGCTGAACAAGGGCACTGATAGCATCCCCTTCGACTGGGACTGCGAGTGGGCGAAGCTATACTCGGGGGGCAAGAAGAACAGGCATGAGTTGACGTACGAGCAGTTCGCGCAGATGCTGCGCGGGCTGCAGGGCGAGAAGATCAGACAGGCGTTCCACCTGTTCGATAAGGATGGCGATGGATTCATTGAGCCTGAGGACTTCCAGCGCATCATTGTCGGGACGGCGAAACATAAGTTGTCCGACCATCTCCTCGATAATCTGCGCACGCTGTGTAACATCTCGGCGGGCAGCAAGATCTCGTACGCCAACGTCCGCGCGTTCCAGAATATGATTAGGGAGATGGATTTGGTGGAGCTGATTATCAGGCATGCGGCGGATAGGAGTCCGGATGGGAAGATTACGCGCACGGATTTCCTGAATGAGGCGGCGAGGATCACGAGGTTCTCCCTCTTCACGCCCATGGAGGCGGATATCCTGTTCCACTTCGCGAGTCTCGACGAGCCGTCGGGCAGACTCGGATTGTCTGATTTCGCAAAGGTGCTTGATCCCTCGTGGCGCAGCCCGCTCGTGGGTGCTGTGAGCGATATGGCCGCCAGGAATGCGGCGGTTGTCAAGACGACCTCGCAGAAGGTGATTCACCAGATTCTTGAATCTGTGCACCACTTCGGACTGGGTTCGCTTGCCGGTGCCTTTGGTGCGTTCATGGTGTACCCCATTGATCTGGTCAAGACGCGAATGCAGAACCAGCGTAGCTCGAGAGTTGGGCAGGCGCTGTACAAGAACTCGCTCGACTGCGCGAAGAAGGTTGTCAGGAACGAGGGCTTCAAGGGCCTGTACTCGGGTGTTATTCCCCAGCTGATTGGGGTGGCGCCGGAGAAGGCTATTAAGCTTACCGTTAACGATTTGGTGCGCACGCACTTCTCGAAGGATGGGAAGATTAGACTTCCGCATGAGATTTTGGCGGGTGCTAGTGCTGGAGCGTGTCAAGTTGTGAGTATTATCCTACAACCCCCCTAAATCCTTCATTGGCTAATGAGTATATCCAGGTCTTCACCAACCCCCTCGAAATCGTCAAGATCCGTCTCCAAGTCCAAGGCGAAGCCGCCAAATCCCTCGAAGGCGTCCCCCGCCGCTCCGCCATGTGGATCGTCAAGAACCTCGGTCTAATGGGTCTCTACAAAGGCGCCTCCGCCTGTCTCCTCCGCGACGTTCCCTTCTCCGCCATCTACTTCCCCACCTACAATCACCTAAAGCGCGACTACTTCGGCGAGTCCGCCACCAAGAAACTCAGCGTCCTCCAGCTCCTCACCGCCGGCGCCATCGCCGGCATGCCAGCCGCCTACCTCACCACCCCCTGCGACGTCATCAAGACCCGTCTCCAAGTCGAGGCTCGCAAGGGCGACACCGCTTACACCTCGCTCACCCACTGCGCCAAGACAGTGTACAAGGAAGAGGGCTTCAAGGCATTCTTCAAGGGCGGTCCTGCGCGCATCATGCGCTCGTCGCCGCAGTTCGGGTTTACCCTCGCGATGTACGAGGTTCTGCAGAACCTGCTCCCGATGCCGGGGAGTGAGCAGGATCACGCGCCGCATATGGGCGCTGTGAGTGCCGCTGCCGGGGGGTTGAGGGAGGCGCAGGGGCCGTTGACGTTCTTGAGGAGTAGGAATGCGTTGAAGGTCATTTTGGATGTGGATGAGGATTTTGGGCGCGTGAGGACGCCGGATGAGAAGGGGTGGAGGGGTATTCCGATGATAGTGGGGGGGAAGGCGTGAGTGTGTGTGTGTGTGAGAGAGAGAGAGGGGTGTGATGGGTGTGACGGGTGATGGTGCCGGTTGGGTGGAAAAGTCTGTGCGTTTGGATAGATGGGGGATTAGATCTCTTTTCATATCGTTTGCATTTTTGCATTAGACTTCTTCAGAACGCAAGATTAGAGCCGAGCGAGCACGGTGGTTGGGAGGGAAGATGGATTAGATTAGAGTGTATAGTTGCATGAGGAAGGGGGGTTGGAATCTCAGGAGAGAAAGCAAAGAGGCGCAGGATGCATGTTTGGAATTTTATTTGGATTGTTTATTCGTACTCTGTAAAAAATATCACTTTGAATATATGCACTGATCATGGGACCGTAACAATTCCTAAAAAATGACTCAGTTTAGGAGGTTTAGAGGGAGGACGGACAGCATAACGTGACCTGCAACCCCTGTCGATGCCTGTGAAACCTGGTGGGACCCACCGAGACACTTTCCCCAGTTTTCGGCAGCGACGATCCACGCTTTGTGTCCGTCAGTGGAGTGCCACCATTCCCGAATTGGTTAAAAATGGCGTCCTCGCCCGCCCTCGCACGACCTGAAGACGGCAACACGATCTATAAATATAAATTACCATCTTTTATCAATTCGATGATATTTCGATTCGCACTCTCTTTGGCATTCGTGGCTGGGGCTGTGGTGACGGCTGGGGTGGTTTCGACGCAGGCGCTTTTGAAGGAGCAGCAGGACTCATTACTGGTACAAGAGCTGCCCGCGCAGGCTGTCTTTCCGGGGCCGTGGGATAGGTATATTCAGGCGCCTGCTAATAAAGCTCATATTCGACCAAAAGCCATACATCTCTCGAATGGCGATGTTGTCAACCCCTCTGCGGTTTTGGAAGGTGGTTTAGGCAGCAGCACTTTGGGCGCTGGTGGAAATGTGATATTTGATTTCGCGCAGAATATCGGAGGACGGTAGGAATCTTTGTTTGTTCGAGGAGGGATGTTAGATGCTAATTATTTTTTCAAGTGTCTGCTTTCAGGTTGCTTCTGTGGTGAATAATACGTTTCTTGCTCTGACGTACTCGGAGTCGCCGACGTATGCGACTGTGGATGGGGATGCGACGAATAATAATAAGCCTACCGATCTGCCGTTATACTTTGGGCTGAGGAACGGCACGAATTGTGTTGGGACTGGGTTTATTCGTGGGGGGTTTAGATTTTTATCTATTCGCCTGCCGTTGGACCCAAAGGAGGACAAAGGGTTTTGGGATACTAGTTCGAGGGAATCAGTTACAGATGCATCAAAGAGGGATCCAGGTGCCACTGTATCTTTGACTGAACTCTGGGTCAACTGCACAGCATTTCCCTCGAACCCAAACCCGCGCGCATACACTGGCTATTTCTCCAGCTCCTCCAATGTGTTGAATCGCGTTTGGTACGCTGGCGCATACACGTTACAGCTTTCAACGATCGTCCCCACACAAGGAGGCGCATCCATAGACTACAACGCTATTGTCGATGGCAACAAATCTCCCGTCGATTCGTGGTACTCGAACTTCACTATCAGCAACGGTACTTCCGTTACAACCGATGGCGCCAAGAGGGATCGCATGGTGTGGCCAGGCGACATGTCCATAGCAGTCCCAGGCATCGCTGTCTCCACGCGCGATATGGTGTCGGTTCGTAACGCCCTCGACACTCTTTTTGCGCATCAGTACGGTGATGGGAGTTTACCTTATGCGGGGCCGCCTATGGGAACGATACACGAATTTAGCGACACTTACCACATGCATTCGCTCCTCGGGGTGTACAACTACGTGTTGTATTCCGGGGACCTGGGATGGCTTGAAGATCACTGGTACAACTATACGGTTGCGTTGAATGTTAGCATTGCCAAGGTGGACAACAGTGGCTTAATGCACGTAACTAGCACTGCGGATTGGCTGAGATCTGGGATGTCGGGGCATAATATCGAGGCTACAGCTATCTTGTATGATGTCCTGCAGAAATCCATTGAGCTTGCCGGCTTCCTCGGTGACGACAGGTCTGAGGCGCAACCTGGGGGGCTTTGGTCTAAGACTGGTGATAGGATCAGAGCGGGTGTTGAGAAGCTAGATTGTCCCCGTGCCGGCCTCTTCGCCGACAATAGCGAAGACCGCAGGTGTGGAGGGTCTGACGAAGTTCTTCCTCAGGATGGAAATTCCTGGCTCCTCTTGGCCGGCGTGCTTGCCCCGTCGGATCCTCGGCGTCTCAATGTGAGCAAGAGCTTAAAATCGCGGTGGACCAAATTTGGTCCCCCGGCCGTGGAGGCTCCTAATATAATCAGTCCGTTTGCGAGCAGCTTTGAGCTGCAGGCGCATTGTGCGGTTGGAGACCATGACACAGCTGTTGAGCTGATGGAGCTGATGTGGGGGTACATGCTTGATGGACCTGGGATGACGAATTCTACACTCCTGGAGGGATACAGGATTGATGGCTCTGTGGGATACCCCGCATACACCCACCCAGCTCGAAATAGTCACTGTCATGGTTGGAGTACCGGTCCCACTATGGTTCTTCTCACGAGCATACTTGGGATCCAATTTACTGCTCCTCTGGGCCGGTCGTCCATCATTAGACCACATCGGACGAAGTGGCTAAATCATGTGGAGGGCGGTTACTCGACGTCACTGGGGAAGTTTGCCGTCAAGCTGAAAGGGATGATCGGTAAAGGGGCCAGAGAGGCAGAGGTTTTACAGGTCTTGACGCCAACCGACACGTCGGGGACTGTATATTGGGGAGGCAACCAGACTGTTCATAATGGTGGGGTGCTGAAGGTTGCAAGATATTTGGATTCGCCTGGACAATGGATTACGCTTTTGAATACTACCGATTATGGCGACGAGAAGGATGATACGACCTGGGCGACTGACTCTGAAGGGGATGGGGAGTTTTTGCCAGACACTGCGTGGGTAAAGCCAAGCAGTTCGGAGAGGGAGGTCGGGGTGGTAAACTGGAGTCTTATTAAGCCAATTGTTGTTGAGGAATTATGAGCATGGTTGTATTGTTAACAGAAGCTCTACGCCTTCTATATATACCTAGTATCATTCGTTAAAGGGGCCTTAGGTGCCCTTGTCAGTATCTATAAACAGTATTCATATCTTTTTCCAGGCTTCAAACTCCACAGCAAGATGCTCATTCAATCTAGCAAAACTCCTCCCAAATCCCGCGCCGCACCTCCAACACTTCAAGTCTTGACTCAAATACCCTGCCTCAGAGGGGTCTCGTCTCGGGTCGTCTGCCGCCAGGGGAAATGCGTCGAGGGGTACAAAGAAGGGGGTGGTAAAACTATTGTAGTGCGCTCTATTCTTCATGCACTCCGAGTACCTGTCCACGGACAACACATGGACATGCAGGTGGCTCATAGACGGGTGCGCATGGATCCCCATCATAACCTCGCTCTCCCAATCTCTCCCCTTCGGCAGCTCCTCCCCATCCGCCAACTCCACCTCACCATTCAAAACGCGCTCACGCTCTTGGTCCAGCTTCGACACCTTGCCATACCGCCGCCGCAACTCCTTCGCCACGAGCTTACGCAGCTTTTCCGACTCAGCCACCGTAGCAGCCAGGAACGCGGCATCTTCAAAGGCGTCAACCGGATGTAGGAGGTTGCGCTCTGAGCGCGGCAGAAGGAGCGTGTGCACGCTCGACTTCGGGTAGAGGTCATTGACTGCGACGGCGGTGTCGTTGTAGAATATCACGTCGGAGGGCGGGAAGGCGGCGGGGTTGTACGTGTAGGCGCCTAGACCGCGGCGGCCTTCGAAGACGATGGGTTTTTCGTGGGGGGAGGAGGAGGGGACGATGGTGGTTTTGCGGGATTTGTGACGCATTAACTCGGTGACTGGGGAGGTTAGCTGAGGCTTAGGGGGGTGGGGTGGGAGGGAGGGGGGAGGATATATTTACATGCGTTGCGGTTGGGGTGTATTGACGTGGATGAGGCTGGCGGCACGATGGTGCCTTGTATTTCCTCCTCTGTGATGGCATCTTGTGTTTCTTCTGTAGGTGAAGCCATCACTAACTATATATATAAATTGCCGCACCTAGCAAAGGACAGGAAGCCGTGAAACTAAGAGCTGTTGTTGGAGGGGGGTATATGTAGTTTGGAGTCGGGGTGCTATGAATAAGGGTCCAACAATCACTGATAGCGCACCGATAAGCCGTGGCGGGATGACGTCCATTTCTAGGTCCCGCCACACCCCTCAAAAAAATCTCCCAGTCGCATCCAAAGCCCCACGCCAGGAACCACAACACATGGATCGCTGAACCTGCCGAATACAATCGACCTACAATGGTCAAAAAGGGGCAGCCGAAAGGGCCAAAGCCCGGGGCGGGTGGTGGAGCGAAAAAGACGACTCCTGTTGCTGCGACCGGCGCAGACGACAGCTTCATCGTGTTTTCGAATTCGGACAAAGAGCCTAAGCCTAGGAAGACGAATGCGCAGGCTGGACCGTCTGGTGCGACTGGGCCGGATATATTGGGAGAGGCGCCGAAGAGACCGGATGTTAAGAAACTTATTGGTGGGGCGTCATGGACGGGGAAGCTACCTGTGAATATGCTCTCGGAGCATTGCCAGAAGCAGAGGTGGGAGAAGCCTGAATATACAATGTCGAAGACCTCGGAAGGATACTCCTCGATGGTTATTTTGAAGGCGAGGAACCCGAAGACGCAGGAGCTTGTGAGCCTGGCACCGTTCAAATTGCCTCCGTCGCATAAACACCTTGCGGCGAAACCAACCGCGCTCGAAGCTCGACACTTTGCGGCAACGTACGGACTATTTCGAGTGTGTAGCATGCGGAATATACATATGATGTTGCCTCCAGACTACAGGGATTTGTGGAAGGGGGAGTTCGAGGTGCTGAAAAAGGAGGATATCAAGGAAGGCAAAGCGTGGATGTATGAAGCGGATCCGTTTGCGGCTCTGAGGGAGCGCGAGGAGGCGAAAGCGGTTATGGAGAAGAAACGAAAGGAACGCGACGCTGCTCGCGAAAAGGCGGCGAATACTCCTGGAGCTCCTGGCGGCGTTAGTCTCACTCATCGAAGTGGAGGTCCCGGTGGCGCAGGGAGCGGCGCGCATAATATACACAGAGGCTGGATGAAGGTGCCAAAGGTCGATATGGGAAAACGGGCGAGAGCTAAAGTGGAGGAGCTCATTCGGAAACATACGATTTGGAATCCGCATGATCACAAGATGTCTGAATTTCAGAGGCACTCGATTATCAAAGACTTTAAACAGCTCGAATTTCGAGAAAGTCATATTGAAGAGGCAGTACTTGAATGCAAGGACCGCGAGGAGACTCTTGAATGGCTCCTTATTCATGTCCCTGAAGATGATCTACCGCGTTGGGCACTGCCTGAAGGTTATGTGGCAGGTATTAGCATGGCAAGCACCGATCTGAAAAAAGAAGGCATCATTAAGCGCCTGGGTGAAGCCGGGTATTCGATTGATCTTTGCAAGCAAGTTCTAGAGTTAAACCAAGGAGATGAGGGGAAGGCGGCAGAAGCGTTACAAAACATCCTTATGGCCAGTGGGCAGGATGACACTGCTACTCCATCCGAGTCGACTAACTGGTCTGATCCAGATGCGAACCCAGACGAGATATGGGAAGAGGAACAAATTGGCCTCGAATCTGTTTTTGGTGATAAATATTCCAGACCTTCCCCGAATGTCTGCCAAATCAAAATTCAACCTGCCAATAGGGGCCGAAATCCAGCAGTTGATACAGAAATCTTGATTCGAAGGTCAACAAAATACCCACAAACTGCGCCGGTTATATCTATCGTCGCGTCTCTACCAGCTTATATACGATTGAGTATAATGAAGAGAGCCCTCAGCCATTGTACCGAGACGCTCTTAGGGGAAGGAATGATCTTCTTCCTCGTCGACTGGGTTGAACAAAACTTCTACGGTATTGTAGAAAGGCCTGGGAAGCTCAGGGAAGTGTCGGCGGCAGCGTCTTCTATAAGTGAAGTCAGTGCACCTAATAGGCAAAAACGAGCAAGGACAACAAGACATCCTCCGCCAATTCGATGGATTGAAAATCCTAGGAGTAAAGATGAGTGGCAGCGAAGGCAAACGGATGCCAAGCTTCAGGCGCGCATTGCAGATAGGAGAACACTTCCGGCGTGGGAGATGCGAGAGGATATAATTGATACCGTCAACTCTCATCAAGTCACCATTATTTCTGGAGAGACTGGTAGTGGAAAGTCAACTCAGTCCGCGCAATTCATCTTGGATGACCTTTATGGGAGGGCCCTAGGTGAAACTGCAAAGATTATCTGCACGCAACCTCGAAGGATTTCGGCTTTGGGCCTGGCTGATCGCGTGAGTGATGAGCGCTGCGGTGTCGTCGGCCAAGAGGTCGGATACATTATTAGAGGAGAGTCAAAGTCGTCTCCAAGGACTAAGATCACGTTTGTTACCACCGGTGTGCTGCTTCGTCGGTTGCAGACATCAGGTGGAAGCAGCGATGATGTTGTTGCGTCGCTGGCGGATATAAGCCATGTCATTATCGATGAAGTTCACGAGAGAAGTTTGGATACAGATTTTCTTTTGGTACTCCTTCGTGATGTGTTACGGAAGCGGAAGGACCTCAAGTTGATCCTAATGAGTGCCACGCTAGATGCTGGTGTGTTTGAGAGCTACTTCAGAAGCGATGGAAAGGTTGGAAGGATTGAAATCAGCGGTCGAACATACCCGGTTGAAGACTACTACCTCGACGATGTTATCCGAATGACTGGTTTTAACACTGGTCGCGGAGGCCGAGGAGGAGATGAAGACGAGGAGACAGAGGGCATGGACTCTGACGTAAGAAGCGCCATTCAAAGCATTGGCATGAGGATCAACTATGATCTTATAGGCCAGACAGTGAGGGCGATTGACGCAGAATTGACGTACAAGAAACAAACCGGTGGAATTCTTATCTTTCTTCCTGGTGTCGTTGAAATCAACAGAACATTGGACAACCTACGATCAATCCCGAACCTTCATGCCCTTCCGCTCCATGCCTCATTGCAGTCTGTTGAACAGCGAAGGGTCTTCCCTCATGCGCCTAGTGGAAAAAGGAAGGTCATTTGCGCAACAAATGTGGCAGAGACATCCATCACCATCGACGACATCGTTGCTGTCATAGATACTGGTCGGGTAAAAGAAACTAGCTATGATCCTTCCAACAACATGAGAAAGTTAGAAGAGGTTTGGGCGTCACGCGCAGCATGCAAGCAAAGGCGTGGTCGTGCTGGTCGTGTCCAGGCTGGAAAGTGTTACAAGCTCTATACACGCAATGCCGAGTTGACAAAGATGGCTGAAAGGCCAGAACCGGAAATTCGTCGTGTACCTCTTGAGCAGCTATGCTTATCAGTGCGCGCAATGGGTATCAAAGAGGTTGCTGCTTTCCTGGCGAGTGCGTTGACGCCACCGGAGAGTCTCGCTGTGGATGGTGCTATCGACCTCCTTGGCCGTATGGGAGCTCTCGATGGAGATGACCTTACAGCTTTAGGGCGGCATTTGTCTATGATACCGTCAGATCTTCGATGCGGCAAGCTGATGGTTTACGGTGCTATGTTCGGGTGCTTAGACGCCTCCGTAATCATTGCCGCGATCCTCACCCTCAAAAGCCCCTTTGTATCTCCACAGGATAAGCGCGAAGAATCAAAGGCTGCCCGCGCAAAGTTTTCTGGCAATCAAGGCGATCTCATAGGCGATCTTCATGCATTTGAGCAATGGGACGAGATGATGAGCAATCGCAGCATCCGCCAGGGCGAGGTTCGCAACTGGTGCGGCGACAACTTCCTGTCATTTCAAACCCTGTCTGATATTGCTTCCAACCGCACCCAATATCTCTCATCTCTCCGTGAGATTGGTTTTATCCCCTACCGAGTCTCGGCTACTCTAAACCACAACAACTCAAACGCCGCCCTGCTCCGCTCGCTGATTGCTGGCGCATTCAACCCGCAGTTGGCGCGTATTGATTTCCCAGACAAAAAGTTCGCGCAGTCCGTTAGTGGAGCTGTAGAGCTGGACCCAGAGGCGCGTACCATTAAATACTTCAATCAGGAGAATGGTCGGGTATTCGTGCATCCAAGCAGTACGATGTTTGATGCGCAGACCTTCCCAGGTAATGCGGCATACATGAGTTATTTCAACAAGATGGCGACAAGCAAGATATTTATTAGGGATTTGACACGTAAGTCACATAAAGTTCCTTCAGATGAACTAATGCTAATATGTTACAGCATTTAACTCATATACTGCACTCTTGTTTTCAGGCCCAATCACTTTGGATACCCTTGGGCGCGGGCTTATCGTGGATGGATGGTTGAGACTCCGTGGATGGGCGAGAATTGGTGTTTTGGTCAGTAGGCTGAGGAGCATGTTAGACGATGTGCTCGCGAAGAAGATCGATGAGCCAGAGATGGACCTCTCAAATAACGAGGTCGTTGCGATCGTGACCCGGTTGGTGGAATTAGACGGCATGGACCAATAGAGGATAAAGATTTGATAATTATACATTGGTATATACATCGTAACTACATAACTTTTCATGTTCTCGTTGATTCATCCTCATGCGGTTACTTGCACTGCTTCGGACATATGAGGACAGAGGTTTAAATCCTCAATGCCTTTCCTGCCTCCCGATCCCAATAACTCGCCTCCCTCTTTACTCATCATCCTTTTCTGAAGCCAAGCTACATACTCGGGCCATTCAGCAATACTTCCAAACACCCGTGCCTTTCTCACTCCTCTCACGCCTTCAAACAGCCTCAAGACCTCGTTTCCACTACCCTTAAACTGGCTTTCGAAGACCTCGACTGTCAGTTCGTCGATCCCACTAAACGCGTCTGTCGCCGCCTCAGCAGAAAACCCTGCATCGCACTCTAGCCTAACGAAAACGTGGTAACGCCGGATAAGTGAGATGAGGTGGGGCGCTTGGACGGGTTCGATCCATCGGCGGAGCTGGGGGAAGTTGTAGAGGCGAATGGGATGTGCGATGAAGGTGTTATGTGCGTAGAGGAATGGCAGTGCCTCGTAGTGGATCTGTTTGTTTACTCGCAGGATCTCTGGGTGAACTGGCGGTGTTTCTCCCAGCGCTGTAGTTGTAGAAGGCGGAGGCACCACGAGGAGGAGATTATATATGCGATTGCGGATCTCGCCTGGGAAAGCGAGGAAGGGAAGGCTGATGTTGGCCATAGAGAAAGGAAAGAAGAGGTAAAGTGAGAGAGCACAGCATAGATATTGAAATCTTAAAAAACTTACAATATGGAGGAAGAAAGCGACACTTACAGAGCAGTTGAGGGAGAGGCGGTAGTAGCCGTCATTATCGTCGTCACTGTGGACTGAATCGGGAATATTGACGTTTTTGAAGTGACGTTTGATCTGATTAGATCTGATATGAGATATGAGATATGATTAGATTCTAAATCGCCTTACCGCGTGGAGCCCTTGTTTTACCTGAGATACGCGTGGTTGATGTCACGACCTTGCAGCGGCCCCATGACGGTTAGACCCATGATAGGCTAAATCTCATGATCCGCTAATCCCATGATCGGCTAGCCCCGTCCCGGTCTCGGCAGTCACGTTGACTGACACCTTTACACCGTATATATGTATATATAAACAATATCGCAAACTCAACCTATTTTGCAATATCGGGCCTGCCGCCATGTAACCATGACGGCCTCGTTGCTTCTCCCTGCTTTGAGCTACATCTTTGGATGGGGATACTTTATTTCCTGGTCCCTCTCCTTCTACCCGCAACCGTTGCTCAACTACTATCGCCGGAGCACGAGCGGGGCTACTATTGACTTCCCTGCGATCAACATCCTCGGTTTCGCCGCCTACTTCATCTCAAATGCCGCTTTCCTCTACTCCCCTGAAATTCGACGACAGTATGCGGCGCGTAACCACGGGCTCACCCCGACGGTGAAGCTCAACGATGTCGCGTTCGCCGCCCACGCGACGATATGCAGTGCCATCGCCATGTCGCAGTATTTCCCACAGATCTGGGGCTTCGAGGATAGGGGCAGGAGGAGGGAAAGGGTAGGCAGAACCGTAATGGGTATCTTCATTGGCAGTATTATAGGAGTTGGGGCCGTGGCAGCTGTGGTGGCGAGCTATCCAGGCGATGATGTAGTCACAGGCTGGGCGGGGATCGATGTGGTGAGTTTCCTATTATTAGCAGCTGGATACGGTTTACAGTAGAGGCGAATGCTCATCGAAATGCACAGGTATATGCCATCTCATACGTCAAACTCGTCGTCACCCTCGTCAAATACATACCACAGTTAGTTACCAACTACAACAACAAATCCACCCACGGCTGGTCGATCCACCAAATCCTCCTCGATCTTATCGGCGGCTTTCTCTCACTAGGACAACTAGGAATCGATTCATACATACAGCGCGACTGGTCTGGGGTTACTGGGAACCCAGTCAAGCTCTCCTTGGGTAATTCATCGCTCATATTTGACTCGATGTTCATCATCCAACATTACATATTATATCCTGGAGCGGGCAAGAACGAGCACAGCGAGAGCAGCCGGCTTCTGGATGCGGAAGGAGAGGCTGCGTAAGCTTCCGACAGACTGCACAGGCGCTGTTATATTTAACATATAATCGCCAATAAACGCCGTCCAATATATAATCACGTCCGCTTCGAGGCGCATCAGTCGTGTGCCGGGGAGCAAGTTAGATATTGAGTTGAGATATTGTAAGAGTACTTACTGCTAAACTTCAACTGATCAGGTGGCGAGTGGTGACACCCACCATCTTCATAACAACTATTTACGAGAAGTTGTGAGTGATTGAGCAGGGGGTGCTGAAGCATTGTTGATCTTTGTGCCATATGATCCCAATTTAGCGCTGCGCACTTGTTTTAGATTTCAGCCTGGGCAATTTTCAGCCTTTGGCTCATAGATAATCACCATTTTATAGAACATCATATCTGTTTCCATTATTATAGCGCCTTCCCATTTCTAATCTCTGGATTCGTTCCCAAGAGTGGACAGAGTGATATCATATACAACAAATAAAATACCCAAACTCCTCATCGAAAGGGAATATAATTCCGCAACCACCACCGTTTCTACTTCTTAGAACAGCCCCCATCCCTTGCTCCTCTCCTTCTCCGCCCCCTTCATCTTGCTCCCAGCTGCCTCTCTCCTCTTATCCCGACCTTCCAGCGCCCTCAAGCTCTCCATCTTCTCAAGGACCAGCTCCAACAGCTCCTTCCGTCTGATAACTTCCAAATGCGCGCGTACCTTGGGGTCCTCCCGAGCGAATCTCTGGACCTCATCATCAGACAGGTGGCGACCGAGACGAGTGTCGAGCTCCCGCGGGAAGTTGTAGTAGAATTCGGACAGTAGCTCCACATTTAAGAAGAGGACAGCGGTCTGGGTGAGTTTCGATGCGACCACATCCAGGAACACCTCAGGGCAATAATACTTGTTCTTGAGGGATGCGCACTGCTTAGATTTAACGGCCATGAGGCGCATCTTAATTATATCGGCGCGATCTCGAAGGAATACCGCTTCTTGGCCTGTAATAAATGAGTCAGCTATAAGTACAGCATAAATACGGAATGCGACTTACCCTTCTTGATCAGTGCGGCACTGAACCCTCCAGCGCCGCCGGTACCATTCCCATCCACCTGGATCTCGTTCTTGCGTGCACGGTCCACAAAATTCATCACATCCTTGAGTTTCTTTCGTCCACCAACACTATCTTCGACAACCTTATGTGCTGATTCACAGGCAACCAGTTCCCTCTTCAATACGCGCGTAATGTTGTCTCGGCCACGAGCCCATTCGGAATCTTCAACGTCAATCTCAAACTTAAATGGCTTGATGCAGTTTTCCACCTGATCGCTAGTGCTGTAAAATCTCTCATTCAGTATCCCCGATGATGCTTCTGTGATTGTTTGGCGTGCAAAGGGGTGGTGTGAGAAAGTAGACTGGGTGACGAGTCGATCGACATTAGCCTGGATGGCATTGGCGACAACAGTGGTCGCTAATCGTCCGATACCAAGCTTCGTAATTGCCGACGTTGATGCATCGAGTTTGCGGTGCCAGTATAAAGAATCGGCGTCTGCTTTTGGGAGATCCGCAAGGACGCTTGGCTCTGCGACCGGCGCCTCGAGGCCTTCGATGGGCTTGTTCCAGTATCGTGCGGCCAGGAGATCAAGAACCCGCTGATCAAGTTCATCTTTGAGTATCTCTCGGACTTGGGGCCGTCCGAAATCCTCGGCAAACGCCTTAAACGAATGCTTGAAGGCATCAAGACTCTCTGCAAGGTAAGACTCAGCAGATAATGGTCGATCGTTGTATTGGACTTTGAACTCGTATGTAGCTTCTTCCAATTCCTGGTGGATTGCATCGCTTGTATGCTGGAGGCTAGACGCCATTGTCTTCTCAAGTACCTGCATGAGTTTCTTGCGTAGAGTCGTTGTCCCTGTGTTCAGCCCATTCTCTGGTCCAAATTCGACTGGGTGGGCCGAGAAATAAGCATGTTCGTTTTTGACGATGGCCGAGGTGATGTTGGCACTGCCCTTCTTAAACAGACCAACTGATTGGGGAGCTTTGCACACGACACCCACATAACCGAGGCGAAGCGGATACTTTTGATCGGTGAGGATGTCATAGCCTCGTCGCGGGTCAACTAAGTCCATCTTCGTGACGACTCCAATTGTCCTTTCTCCTCTAGGATCGACTCTTCTGCTCGCTCTCAGCGCAGTGGAGTTTGCAAGATCCACGTCAGCAGCCGATATAGCCAGAATGATATTCGGAGCCTGAATGTACTTGTCACATAGATCCGATATCTTCTGCTTCAGTTCCAAAGGTTGACCTTGGCCGACGACTTGAATATACCCGGGTAGATCAATAAGTGACAGGTCCGGGACATGCGGTGACGATATAGTCAGCTGTATCGGGTCGTCGGAAACACACTCGGTGTCTGGTACGGCCAAATTAAGCTCCGTAAGCGTCCTTTGAATGCTTGAGAAATCCGTTATTTTCCCCAGGCCAAGTGCTGGAAATTCTCCATACTCGGCCATAGAATCGGGCGTATTGACAAGTGTCAGCTCGATCGGACGCCTAGTAACCATGTTGGATCCTTTTGGCAAGAACTCGTGCCCCACAATCGCTTCCAAGACGGAACTCTTCCCTGATGACTGCGAACCGATAACGACAATCGATGGCAGTATGAGAGCTTCGGATTGACCAATTGTCTGGAGGAGAGATCGGATTTCGATCATCTTCTTCGTCAATACCATCATTTGGTCATCCCTTGCAGCCTCCGGCTCTGTTCGATCATCCTCCTCATCTGACTGGCCATATCCATATGCTGCAGCAGAGCCTGCAACAGCAGCAGCGGCACCGACGCGGGCTTCTTGTGGTGCTTCGCCTCCTCCCTTCCCTCCAGATCCACCCTTCCCTGTTCCTATTTCCTCATGTATCCGAAGCACCTTCTGTAACCATTCCGGCATTTCTGGTAATTCCTCCTTTGTATTTTCGAGTCCGCGCTTCATCTGCTCGGCAGTGCCTGCCACCGTGCCGAAAAGAGATCCCGCTATTCCGCCAACAGTATCAGCCGTCTGCTGAAACACATCCATAGCATAGTTTCCGGCCTGGGCGGCTTGGTATTGAATCCATGCAATTCCTGCTATCATTGCGCCACCGAACATTGCCGGTATCCTCGCGAATTTCAGGACAAGCTTGGGAAGAATGCGGGCGAAGGAGGCATTTCGGACGGCGACGGAGTTGTGCATCGAGTTGTAGCCCAACGGCCACATGCGGCGCCTGGCCACACGTACAGCAGCATCGGATCGAAGGAGGCCACCGGCAGAGGAACTGGCTCGGTGGTGGAATTGCCGCGCATTCTGGCTTGCGGCGCGTCGCGCCAAAGGCAGGAGACGGGCGGACAGGAGCCTCCCGCTCATTGCGAAAGTGGCACCAGTAGTTTTCGAGAAGGTGGTAGTCTTCTATGCCATAAATGCTATATCTAGTCACGTCGATATGTTTCGCAATCGGGGTTCAGCGGCGGAGAGGTCGATCTTAAATTATGTACAGTTATGATTTAACATGATGCCTCCCCTCCGTCACTTGAGTTACAAGATTGCCTTACGTAAGCTAGATTTGGCCAGGGTCACTCGTACTCGTACTGCACATTAAATTCACGTGACTGTATATGCCTCGGAGGTCGGACGTGGCGAACGTTAGATAATCACATGACACCATCGTCTATCGTTGCTTGGGGGCGGAAGCTTACTACGGTAGCCCCTTCAAGCACTCCCTGGTCTACCAACGGGAAGACAACCACCAGGCTGAGAAGATGGCCAGCCTCGGGGAAACGAACAGGCGTTGAACTTGTGTGACTGATAACACATTTTGTCTCTCCTACAAGACAAGCTTTCCCAACCCTCTATCTCAACAACTGTCTCAATCACGCCATAAACTGCTTCGTCGCCATTCCCACCTGTTGTTTGTTTCCCTGTGCAAAACATCCGCGACGTCGACTTCCATAACTCTCTTATTACGACTGTTGCCTCCCTCTTCCTCCTCCCTTATCTCTTCCACAGCATCGATTGCGCCATCATCTCACACAGCCACCCATGAGCAGAGAGATTGGAATTCCCTCACCGCTATATTAAAGTTCATACTACATCAGCAAGGCCTACATATATCGAAGTCTGCTGGCAATTGACTTTGGATCTTCATACCTCCGATCAACTCAGCACACCGTGGTCAGCCATGTGCCGCTTTTTGGTGAGTTGCCTCCGTCGCACAGCTCAAACTACCACTAACTCTAGACCAGGTCTACAAAGGAAGCGATGAGATTTTACTGTCAAAATTGATCCTCGATCCATCCCACTCGATCCTCACACAGTCCTTCGATTCCAGGCTGCGGCTGGTATGTCTCGCCGTTCCGATAACGCACCGAATTCTGTAGATAGCAAAACTGACTCAACCCAGGATACTCGTCGACCTCACAACGGCGATGGCTTTGGAATTGGATACTATACAGACCCGAAGCTAGGCCCGGAACCTTGCATTTTCACATCGACGATCCCCGCATGGAACTGCATTAACCTCCAGCGCATTGCTTCAAAGACTGCCTCGCCACTCATATTCGCCCATGTTCGCGCCACGACGGAAGGCTCTCTCAGTGACGACAACTGCCACCCTTTCCGTCATGGAAGCTTGATGTGGATGCATAATGGAGGGTTAGGAGCCTGGAAGTACATCAAGCGTCGGTTAGGGGAGCGGTTGGCCGATAAATGGTATCTGGGTGTCTGCGGTGGTACCGACAGCGAATGGGCATTTGCTCTCTACCTTGACACCTTAGAGCGAATGGGTCATGACCCAAGCAATCCTCCGGAGCACGGGTTTGGACCAGGCATCCTTCGCCAGGCAATGTTGAAGGTTATCAAGGACATCAACCAGTTCATTGCAGAAGTCCCACCAAAGTTGATCGTAGAAGAAAAGGTGGACACTCGCAGTCTCCTAAACTTCGCTGTCACAGATGGCCACAGTGTTATTTGCACGCGGTATGTGAGTAGCCAGACAGATGAAGCTGCAAGTCTATACTACTCATCTGGATCGACGTGGCACGACGAGAAGAAGGGCAACTTCCAAATGGACAGGCGTGATAAGGGAGCCGACATTGTGCTTGTTGCCAGCGAGCCACTGACTTTCGAACGAGGTATGTTCTCCTTTCCAGTGTGCACAGATCTAGCTTAAAGCAGCATCTAACAAGGATCCAGACAATTGGGTAACCGTTCCTACCAATTCGACTCTCACAATCCATAACCAGACTGTCATGGTCCATCCGATTATCGATGAGAACTACAGTCAAAATCCCGCTCATAAGCGTTCCGCACAGTTTGTCGCCGAAAAAGGTCTCACTACAAACCCAACAAGCAAGCCTTGCACGGAAACTGGTACATCCACACCGTCATCCGTTTCAACCTCCAAAGCAACTTCACCTTCGGAGTCCTACAACAAACACGTTTCCCTTCCTGTTTCGCGGCTCAATGAGTGCATGTCAGGGCTATCCGTGCGATCTCTCTCACCTGAGAGTGCAAGTGACAGCGGGTACCGGCCAGTCTTATCCGGCAGAGACCCATCAAGGCCGCAGGAGCAGGGAAACATCAAGAAGAAGCGGGTCAGCCTGATAGAGATTGATCCCCAGGTTCTCAGAGATGCAGACCAAGACTACCAGTCTCTTGGGTCGCAGTCACAGAGGTCAGGGCGATTAGGGAGTGGAAACACAAGCCCTAATCCGGATAGAACAAACTATGGCAGTGCTGCCAAGATTACACAGTACTTCCCGGAGCTGTCATGAGGGATATTTTTCTGAAGCGTCTTTTGTTTGATTATGTTTAGCGCGTTGTCAAGGGTTCGCAAGGGAAAGTCGACAGGCATGGGGCTTTGGAGTTTTTGTGGCGTGTCTTTCATGGCGGATAAACGTCTTCGGTTTGCGTGTATTGTCACTGCAAATAAGGGAGATACAGTCAATCTGGCAGTTTGCCATGTAGTTCGGCACAAGATATGGATGGTTGGAAGGAAAACATGGTGTTATGTTCATACCCTCTGTTTTATCATTTCAAATCATTTCAAACGTGTCCTCTCCAATGAGCGGCTGACACACTCTAGTCCTTCTACAGAATTATAGAATATACTCAATTAATATTACAGATTCCCATCTAGAGTCAACTGTGTCGTGACCTCCCACTTAACTCCACCCTTCCCGTAACCTCCCCCAAGCCGATTCTTAACCAATATTGAGATCCGGTCCCTGATCTTGCTCATCCGGCCTTCATCAACCGTTGCCCTGCTTCCCCTTATTCGTATCTTGAGATTCGCCATGCAAAGCCCATAATGAACCTGCCAGAACTTCGCCTCCTCAATGGCACACACTTCCGGCTCCGTGCTGATTTCATGCAAACACTCATCCACCCCCTTTCCTGAGTATGACATCAGAAGCATGAGACCTTGGGCTATGGCAAGCCGAATGCCAAGAAAGAACATCGAGAATGCGATGAGTCCGCAAAGAAGTCGATCTAGCCACAGGTACAGCGTCACAGACAGGAGAGGCAGTACGAGCATGACGGTAGAAAATGAGAGGGTCAAAAAGTGGGACGGGTTGGAGAGCACCGACGGCAGCGACGAGATGTAAGCAAACCGCATAGCGTGTGAGATGCGCGCGTGGTTCTTCAGCCCGATCGCCGATACGAGAGTTGCGACGATTGCTGCAAGGGCAGCTGAGTCAACTGACCCTGGGGAGACACGTTCGTGGGTGTGTGGGTGATGAGGGGTGTGCGTGCCAAGCGACTCAAGGAGGTGCTTGAGGTTGTGAGAGATGAGGTCGAAGCCCATGAAGAGCAAGAAGACGGACATGGCGAAGCCGGCTAGAACTTCGGCGCGTTCCAGGCCAAACGGGTGGCGTATGGAGCTTCGCTTCCAGGCTTCAAAGTTGCAGAACACATCGACCCCCACGCAGATGGTTGCACTTATAGCATCGAAGAAAATGAGATGGGAGAGGGCTGTTAGGGCAAGGGATCCAGCGGCACTGTATACCACGTATGTTGCAACGAGCGCATGGCAAAGGCACCACACCAGTCGAGTTGTTTGCTCGCGGGACATGCTCTGCCATGCTTCCTTGAATGTGGGTATGGGTAGAGATGCAGGCAGCGCCAACGGGGCTCTCGGTGCTGGCTCTAAAAATACTTGGTGCTGTGTCGAAACGCTACTATGCTTGTATCTGTGGCCACGCCGTTGTCCAATATTCTATTCGTGTTAGTTTGTGTCCGCCCATTCAAACCGGTCTCCCAACCAAAGTCAACTCACAGATTTAGCAACCGGTGCCATGGTATATGTTTGGGTTTGAAAATTGAAGGGGTTTTTGGCCGGCGCGCCACCACTATCACTGTCCTGGGCATCGTTGCTCGTCGCTGGGCTACCGATACTTCCAGAAGATGGTATAGGTGTAGCCATTGATCCAAACCGGTGAGGGAATGTATCCGTCATGGGCGAAAGAGAATTCGGATCGAAAGATATCGTCGAACTGACAGGTCGGGGACCACCATAGATACCAAGGCCAGACCTCTCCTCCTCAGGGTTAGGAGTCGGCGGCGTTGGGGTCCGTGGCGGTTGGGGGATTGGGAGATTCGAAGCCATTGCTGCTCGTCTTATGCGTGGCAGCAAGGAACGGTGTTTGCGGTTCGAAATATCTGCAGCATTCCGTAGGTAAATGCGATACCTTTGGCGACTTGTGAAAGGTCAATGTAATAAACAAAGTCGCCAGGTTGCATGCGCAAGGTCACAACCACCGTGGGGTTATCGAACTGCCGAGAAGCGGCGCCCGATCCGCCCTAGAACACCCTACTGTCCTCTCCGTACAGGGATAGAACAACTAACCACGATCTGGGTCCAACAACTTTAATAACGGCCCATCGCGACAATTGCAACGAACTAGCAGTTATTGCAAACCGGCCGCGATCGCACAATGATTTCAGAGGATGAATGACTTCGACAACAATCCTCCAGAGCATGGATGATGGTACAAGGGCAAGCGATGTGAGCGAGGAGCGCCAAACAGACGCAGCAAAGGGGACATCAAGCGATGATGTCGCGCCGAGTGGACACAAAAGGAGTCCTTCTGGTGGGCTCTCGAAACTCTCATTCCTGAGAGCAAGCGCCGAAGACAACCAAATCCAAGCCGACAATGGCCCACCGAGCCCCGAACCTGTCGCGAACGGCCAGCCGACCTCCCCTAAAAAGCCTGGACGAGCCATGGCCGTCGCCGTCCAGCAGCTGAAGACAAGACGAAGGAAGGGTTCTTTGCGGAAAGCGGCGCTTCTTGGAAGAGGCGCACAGCGGGAAAGGAAAGAGCTCGAAATACCTCCGTTAATCACAAGAGCTTCGGCAGACATCGACGATGACAATGCGTCCAGTCCAATCTCGCCTGAAGATTTGAAGCAAAACAGAGGGTTTAATTTGGGGGCTCTAGACACATCAGGCTACTCCTCGATTGACCACAACACAAGCAATGGGCTGCAAAATCAATACACGCCAGTGCCTATCCTGGCCCCAGTACCTATTGACCCTACGGTGCCCAATCTGAAAACCAGTCCAACTCTCTCATATACATCTACTACCGATGACGACGATGTGCTGTCGTTTCCAAAGCACCTTCTCTCGCCGCCTATGAATAACATCCCTCTTTCATCCGGATCTGAAGGCTACTTCCCAGCGGAAGGCCCAGGGGCGCTATTTCGGCGGCGGTCGACGAAGAAGCCAAATTCTCCGCTCCCTCACGGAGGATCCACAGCAGCAACCCTCACTTCATCTGAAGATGACTGGGATTATGCAGAGACGGAGTGGTGGGGTTGGGTTGTCCTCATAGTCACGTGGGTTGTTTTCGTTGTAGGCATGGGGTCCTGCCTCGGTGTTTGGAGCTGGGCTTGGGACGTTGGGGAGACGCCATATGCGCCTCCAGAGCTTGAAGATGACCCAACGCTACCTATAGTCGGATATTACCCGGCGCTGATCATATTGACGGCGGTTATGGCATGGGTTTGGGTTGTGGTCGCCTGGGTTGGCATGAAGTACTTCAGGCACGCAAAGATCAGTGGTGACTGATTATAAATGTTCATACGTCCTACTTACTTAATATACCCTCTAGACTTTGTTTCTTTGCTTCGTGTATCTTTTCAAGTTCGCTTTGATGGATATCTTGTTGCCTCTCAAGTGACGAACTTTAGCGTTCGGCCCGGCGAACCTTAATCCAACTGGCGGCAGGCACGCTTCAAGGCACCGCCTACTTCAAACCCTCGCTCCAAATAACGCGGACTGCAGCTAATAATGACACATTTACCTCACGAGCTCAAGATGACTCCCAGGGGCATACTTGTACTTGCGGTGCGTAGGGTTCACTTGTGGTGCGATTCCCAGCTTGTGGTGCCATTATTCACTTAGTGCTAATTTCCAACTTGACTGACTCCTTACGCCGCTATATATAACGGCTCTCCACATTCCAGGGTTTCATTTCTTACTTCATATATTTTTCTCATATATGAAGTACATACTATTGCTGCTCCAAGCCTCCGATATCCGCTATACTTCAATACGATAGCTATCATTTTATCACAGGCGCAACGCCAAACCCGGACCCTTTTCTTTGGACCATATCTACTCTCGCCAGCCATTTATCGGATTTAATTTCGGTCTCTTTTGGATATAACACCGCTGGGCATGCCTATCATATCGGCAGACATATGCGCTGCCCCAATAGAGAAACCGAGTGGCAGATCATGGATGGGAGACAGGCTTCATCGGTCCAAAAATCTCAAGCAATTCACAATATTTAATAAGCTTCCCCCGGAGCTTCGATTGAAGATTTGGTGTCATATTATGCCACCGCCGGGTCGGGCAGTGTTCGACCATAGTTTGGGGCCTCGGGTATTGTTGGACCCTTCGATGGGATATTACTCGCTTTTCCATCCCGAGGAGGATGTTCTGGCGCTGCCCGACAACTTTTTTTGGGGCCGAACACCCGTACTCTTCCAGGTCTGTCAAGAATCAAGGTATATAGGGAAGATGAGAATCTTTCCTGTTACTGGGTTAAGTTTATTCCATGGCGGAAACATAACATACAACCCCTCGTTCCAAGCGAGCATCATGCGCCATCCTGGCGGCTTCCGTATAAAAACGATATGGTTCTCACCAAAGGACACAATCGAGTTGCCAATCCGCTCCGAATACGCGCTCCGAGATATGCAGATTGCCGCTGCACAGATCACCAAGGCGTGGGGTGAAGAGGAAAACCCATTAATGGTGCGGAAGGTGCAGTTCTCATTTTTGGTCACCGACGCCAACAAACTCAACTCCAAGGTCATTAAACACCTCACCAAAATTTGCTCGCTGGTACGCGACTTGGGGCGTTCGGCGACTATCTTCATCGGCATGGGAGCCGGTTTTGCCCACAGGCGAGGTCGATTCCACCTCAACGATGACCAAGAAGAGTGGGTCTACAACGACGACGGGACCTTCTGCAATCCGGACCTCCAGAGAGAGCTAGAGCATAAGCTGTCAGCGACCCCCGGTGAATGGGCCCTCTCTAAGGACTACGACCCGTCCAACGTTCCCGCTCTGTTCAACGAGCTCAACGGTCTCGACTCGATCGCTTCGAGCGGTCCCGACCAATCATCTATAGGAACAACGGGAATAGTCCTCCCATGTCTGAGCAGATGTGCAGTGATCAGCCATTATAGTGCATACAACTACTGCCTCAATTCCGAGATTATCGAGGCGCACCTCGCAGAAGTGAATCCTCGGATAAGATACGTCGACCAAATCAGAGACGGCTTGGTGGAGGATAGGTATACGGGTGGCTGGGAAAAGGGGGAGGCTTGGCGCCGTGGGCTGTCTTTTAAAAAGACAGGCCTGTACGGGGAGGATAGCCAGGACGGTGTATGGAGCGATCTATTTGATGATACCAATCTATGGAACGCTGGCATATGAACCGGTGATGGCACATTTCAAGCGGCATGGTTGTTGGTTCGTCGCTAACTGAAGACAGGATGCCAAATGGCAGGAGCTTTGTTGCGGTTGGCGAGATTGTTTTCTCTAAATGGCAGAAACTCGACCAACGTTGCTTCCGTTTCGGTTGTTATATATGGTTAATCTACTCTTGGTTTTGTTTGCAGGGACTTGATTAACATTGTTTCCATTTTTGTCGTTATACATTGCAATCTACTCTTGGGTTTATTTGTAGGGACTCGAATGGCGTTGTTTCCGTTTTGATCGTTATATAGGTTAATCAACTCTTGGATTTGTTTGCAGAAAGTATTGCTATGAATCCCTAGTATATGCAAAACCCATAGTGCATCCTTCAATAACATCATGAAAGCTACAGAGTAAATCCATTATCAGAGTTGGGCGTAAATCCGTGTTATAAAACTACCCAGTGGCTATGTCAAGGCGGCGCAACGGCACGGACCGTACGTGTGATGTACGAAGATCACATAATATAAACGTGGCTCCCAGTATGCATAGCAGATTCTCCTTATTCCATTGAACTACATTTTCTTTCGCAATTGCCCTCAAACCACCAAACGCCATTTCCAATGCACTCGCCATCAACGAGCAAATCCTACACTACTTCTTCCCCGCCCTCCTGGCCTTCCCCGGCCTCGCCTTCGCCGCCCCAGGTTTGCTCTGTCCCTTCATCTTCCTGCTGCTGAAGCCCGTGAGATCACCCGTGGTGTGGGCATCGTTGCTCTTAGCATGCCTCTTCTTGCCGCCAAACCCGTACTTCTCGTCCTTCTTGGTACGCTTGTTGCGCTTCTCGCTGCGGTCGCGGCCTTCGGGCTTGGTGGAGGCTTCGTCGAGGGCGACATCGAACATATCGGCCTCGTTGGTGCCGGTTGGGCCGTCACCATCTTGACGCTCTGGTTGATAGTTAGTAACCTATTCGTAGTTTAAAGTCCATGGGAAGGTAAAGCATACTTCTCTTCAAGTCCTTAATCTTCTCCATCGTCTTGGTCTTCTCCTTCTGTCTCTCCTGCAACTTCGCATTCTGCACCTGTTTACCGAACTTCTTCAAGTCACGCTGTTTCCTAGCCTCAGCAGATGCCTTCTTGCCCGCAGCCGCCTCCACCAACTTCGCCTTGATCTTCGCCATATGCTCATCCGCCTTGACCATCTCGGCAAAGAAATCCGTCGGTCTGGTGAACGGCGCGCCCTCGGCCTTCAACAGCTTCCTGGCCTCCTGGACGGCAGTAAGCGATTGCTGGTAGAACGCAAGCTCGCGCTGCAGATCATCGGAGACGTCAGGGATGGCCACTGGCTCAGCGGTGGTCAGAGATTGGTGGTCGGTGAACTGGAGGGTCTTGAGGGGAAGAGCGATGCGGCGGAGCGCGGTGGTCAGGGCGGTGGTGTTGTTAATCGTCAGGCGCTGGTGAGGGATCATGTCCTCTTTGTCCTCATCGTCGAGGTCTTCGAGGTCGGAGAGGGGAATGTCTTCCTCGTCGGACATTTCGTCGTCGGAGAGACCATTGTTATCTTCGACGCCGCTGGAGCTAGCAGTATCGCTATCGTCGATACCTGCAAGATCAATCTGTGAGAGGTTAGAATCTATCTTTGCAATTGCATTGAGCTATTTACCTCTGTGCGGCGGTACTCATCGCCATTCTCCTTCTCGTCAAGCTCCATGAGCTCGCAGATACCCTCCTCGTCCTCCTCCTCATCATCATCTTCAGCTTCCTCGTCGTCTACTACAGGAGCAACAGGCTGCTTGGCCTTCTTCTCCTTCCGCGCCTTCTTAACCATCTTCTTCTGATGCTCCTGCTTAAAGTCGGTCTGCTTCTCCGCGACCAGCGCCATCTTCAGCTTGCTTTTGTTGACCATTTTGATTGACTGTTGGTTGCTCAGTTTTGTTGCTGTTTTCTATACCGGCGCAGTATCTGCGGGACCGACTTTCTCTTGTAACTTTTTGGCGATAGCAACTTTTTTGGAGGCTAGTATTCGGATTGGGACTAGTTCACTTGACCGCCTTCACTTTGGGATGTGGCGCACGTGACGTGGCTCGGATTCTCAAAACGTGTAAATCATCACAGGATGAACGTTGGAATAAGCTTATTTTGTAATCATATATAGTGGTGCCGTTTGTGTTCTAGGAAATTATATACGCAGTATAAGGTTAGGTCACCAGGCTTGTGTCTCTGGTTGGCGGTGGGGTAGTTTTGGGAATTAGACCCTTATAAAGGCAATAAATAGTATTAATATTTGCAACAGTTAAATATTCCCAGTCGTTAGTTATATTCATTACATGTCAACACCACCATATAGTACATTGAATACACGTTTATTAACGATGCCGATTTATTACCCCACGGAGCCTTATTTTATTTTACAAGAGTAGTGCATATTTGTCGGGATATAGGAAGTTGGAGGTTGCCACGCTCATTGCTGCTGTCTCACCATCCTATAAGATTCCTATAAGAAAAAAAACATGAGCTTGTGGAAGAAAGTTTGCCTGTTCCTCCATCAAGAACCAATCGAGACCATAGTTCGCGCGTATGATCATGTGGCGTCCATGGTAACTTGTACTGACTGTTACATCCAAGCAGTCTCCACCAGCGGCCAACACCCTCAACTACAGCCACCAGCACAAACCAAACCTGTCCACCAAAACAGTGGCAGCCGCTGAAACAATCACCTCATTACCACGGTCTAATTCAGAGGATGCATCGTATTATTCAATAAGTATACATATAATTCGTTTTGAACGGTGCTCACACCCCACCCGCATCCCCCCCAAATCATCCGCCTAAGCCCCCATCTGAAGGAGAGTGCTATGTCCATCCTAAACTAGTAACAAATAAGAACAACGCCTCGTTCGTACCCTTAATCCTCCATGCTACGCGGTGCAAATTCGAGAGAGAAAAACCCCATTATTGTTCCCACTCCCAACCCGGCGCTGGTTGTGACGACCAACCCGGTTCACCACTACCGTAATCCCAAAGGCGTTCGGCACCTTCGGCCAAGCCAGCGCCCCGACGGGGGTTGACGAGAGGCATCGTAATCGTGTCATGTTGACATAGAGGCAGGCGGACAAAGGAAATTCGTCCGACGAGTGACCAGAGGACTCGTCGGGTTTTGCAGATTGTATTTCGCACTACAGGCTGGGGTTACCAGCCCGAGAGGTATCATGATGCAGACGCCATGCAATGGAACGCAAATGAGTCGCTATTCGGAATTAAGATTTGTTCAAAGCCGGGCTCGGCCAGTATGCTTGTTTCGTCGAAGTGTGGTTATTGTCTTTCATCATTGAGACGCCTCGACGCACCAGTGGCGATGGTAAACCCATGCGCTCTTTTGGCATTCTTTGCTGCAGTACTTTGTACGGCGGCATCGTCGACACTTGGCAAACTGCCGTGTAAACTCTTCCCACTTGCCGCATTGGTAGTATGCGCATTGTCTGATCCCTCCCCTTGTGTCGTCCTTGCGGCATAAGTTGCGCATAACCACGCCAGCCCAGTATTGCATATCCTGGCTGTGGTGACGCACGGTAAACTTCTCGACGAGGGGGAATATATTGAAATCGTCAGGCAGGAGGTATTCCTCCTCCTCGTCACTCTCACAACCGTCCTCGGTTTGTGCGTGGCAGGAGCTGTCATCCTGATCCAGAAGATGAAGCTCCTTGCCGATCTTGAGCTTTGGAACAAGGTGTGACTGTTGGAAATACTTTCGGAGGTTGCAGTACTTAGAAACGTATGCGAGGAGCTGTAAAGACATAAGAACATCCTCGTCGCGAGGCATAGCCGCAAGGACTTGTGCGTTTGCTGGAGTGGGGCGATCCAGTAAGTATCTTGGGATAGTCGTAATCATGATGGCGGGAGAGTTGTTGGCCATATTTGTCTGGGCTGGGGAGAGGCCCATTGGTGGTCCTGTTGGGGTAGTAGCATCGGCGATCAGACTTCCGTCAATTGCCGATCGGTGTGTAATGTTGAATGTGCCTGCATCCTGGGCTTCCGATACAGTGGGGGTGGTTAAGCCCAGAGGAGTCTCCACAGCCGTGATCATGCTATCGCCCTCATCATCCATGCTGATGTCCTGAATTCCGACCGACGTCTGTATATCTGTGCTTGCGCTAGCGATATCCGGCTCCCCAGACTCATCGGACACCATACTGTCACCGTTGGGATCTTCCTGTTCACCACCCATCGATGTTTGATGTCGGATAGATGGCCTCCTCCGAGCTCGTGCGGTTGGGTTGGACGCTGGTGCGGGACGTGCTGTAGGTGATCTTAGTTGTGCGGGAGGAAGTGGTGTAGTTGGAGAGTCGGGCTGTGAAGTCAATCCGCTGTGGTGGTATGGAACCATAGAAGGAAGCCTTTCGACATCGCGAACAGGTCTGATGTTGAACCCGTCAGTTGCATCCATCGAGGGTATAGCGGTAGCAAGAGGCTGGATTTGATGGCGGGATGGTGGAACAAAGAGGGGGGTATGTCGGGGGTCTTGGTTTCTGTGATGATGGCGGTGGTGGTGATGGTGGCTGCTAGCGAACGTAGTTCGCTCGGGAGGAGATGTGAGGGAGAAAGCAGCGTTTGTTGGTGTTGCATCTGTGGCAGCGAAATCTGCCGACGCTGGGGCATTGGCGGATGATGCTGGGATTTCAATGGATGGAGGAGGAGCTTGGCGTCTAAATGTGCGATTCTCTGCGTCCACGCGGCCAGATCGATTTCCAAACGACGTGCCTTTCTGCGACGATCGGCTGCCATGCCTTCCACTCGATCCTTGTTCTTGGATAGACTTCTGTTTCGCTTCTTCCGCCTTCTCCCGGCACCTGTCTACGACCTTGATGTAGTTGTCGAGAATTGTAGCGATAACTGGGACCATGTCTGCCTCTACCACCCTAGTCCGAACTGGTTCAGAGCCTCGGACGCCGATATTGACAACACACTGGAAAGCGAGATTCCATTTCCACATATCCATCATGTCCTTGCTTCGGCCTGCCTTGAGCAGGCAGACCAGTCTCTCGACGCCGCCATCGACGGTAAGGATATCTCTGATGCGTGCTGATGAAGTCGTGAGGTATGCGAGGTGGTTCAGGGAATTGATGAGAGGTAAGGTTGAAGTGCAGTCGAGGGCACGGCGATCATATAGGGCAGTCGTGATGCCAACTGAGGCCTTGTTGACATTCGGGATGCTGAAGTTGACTTCCCTCATCGTGCAGACTGTTCGCTAGATCGCGACGGCTGAGAATTGGGAGTCTTTTCGCTCAATCGGTGCGTTTGGGGAGATCGTGGGCTGTTGTGGTTGTTGGCATATAAGCAAGCGGGATCTGCTTGCTCAGGTGTCGATAAGTATGTATGGGATGACTACGTCAAGTTTGATGCCGAGTTTGATGTCGAGGTGTGTGATGTCCGTTGGATTTGTGTTTGGGGGGGGGGGAGCGTTCCAGAGAAGAGACAGCCGGGAACTTCGAGGGCTGGCAGACGCTAGAACATGTGAATTCGAGGAGATTTGCTGGAAGAGACGTATAGAACAACGCTGACAGAGAGAACCGAATATACTGAATACTGATTTTTGATGAAGTGGAGGATCAGGAGTCAGACAACGACGTCGACGTCGAAGACTGGAGGCGAAGTGGCTGGCGAACCAGATGGGAATTCCTGAAACGGCTCTAGCAGCAAAGGCGGCCCGTGTCTGTCTGTCTCTCTCTCTTTCTCTCTTTCTCAGCCTTCGGGATCGAGTAAACCGAGTAAAATAATGGCAACGACCACGATTAATAACGGAATAATTAAAGATGAATTGAGTTGAAGAAGAGTAATAATAATAATAATTATTGAAGAAGCGGTAAGCTAAAAGATATTGACATTTTCTTTTGGAGAGAGAGGTTTTGTTGGGTTGGGGCGGTTGTGGCAAAAATACCAAGGAGAAGGCGGCGAAGAGTGTGGTGGTGTCTGTGTGTTGGTGGTGGATGAAAGCGGCAGTACGGAGCGGAAATGGCCGTGCTTTTTGGACGACTACTACATTTATTGTTGCTGAATTGAGTCGAGTGGAGTTATTAATGAAAGTGAAAAGAGAAGGATAATTTAATTATTGTTTATGGTTTTTTATTGAAGATACACTGCTTTGGGGGAGAAGGGAGTAGTGTGGTGAATAGGGGGTACAGCGAAGGGAGGAGGGAGGGAGGGAGGGAGGGAGGGAGGGAGATGGTTGGGAGGAGGAGATTGGAGATTAGGCATAGGAGATTGAAGACAATGATGATATGATATGCAGTAACTGCACGGTAGATAGAGTATAGTGAATAGAGGCCAAGGAGACAAGATGAGAGATGAGAGGCAAGATGAGACGAATAGAGGAGATAATTAATGCAGAGTGACAAAGTATAATTGCCTATTACAGTACACTCCTAGGAATATCACACAACGATCGATATCGACAGCCTTATCAGCAGAGCTGTAGTAGCAACAAAGCAATATAGCAGTACAGTACAAGTACAGCACTCCCTTGTTGGCTTTCTATGCTTTGCAATCAAAGTAACAGTAACAATACAGCCAGTATAGTGTGATTAGTACATTACTGTAGAGTACATTGGGCGTGGGGTGTTGGTAAGTTGGGTGCCGGTGGCGGTGGTGATAGTGAGTGGTGAGTGGCGGAGAGATTAGATGGATGCGCTGGGCATTCTCTTAGTACGTGGTCTAGTACAGTTACTGTAGTAGTATTAGTAGTCTTAGTAGTATTAGCAGTCTTAGCATTCTACTAGTGACAGCATGAGAGACAAGACAAGACATACGAGACATACAAGACACACTCGACACACATGAAGCAAGAAGCAAATGTTGTAATCCTGAGTGCATATATACTTGGTAAGCATGTACTACAACCGAAGTTGACAACAAAGGATACAAGTACACAATACTCCACAGCCTGCGTTTGGCCGCATACAACACCACTAATGTGCACCCTAAACATAAGAAATTAGTGGCAGGAAGGGTCGCATGTGAACTGTAATTCATGTACCCTCTACTTCCTCCATGTACTTCCACTACTTGTACGCGAGCTCTCTAATCACTTCTAAATCACTAGGGGACGGGAGACACACCAAATGCGTACTAGATGTACAATACACACTCGATTGTTCAATAATGATGCAAATTCCAATCCAACCGTTCTCGTAAACATATATAATGGATGTAAGTGGATATCACTATGCGCCGAAAAATAAGAATCTCGTCCCAGTTTGCCATTAATAGAACTCGCGCATAACAAACTCCCTTCTAACCGCCCGCTCACGCGCGACTCTGTGCAGTTACTTGACGGAAAGCACGCACACGGACGCACGCACCCCCCCCCGCTTCCCCACCTGAGCGCTTAGGATCCACCATTGTGCGTGTAAAGGCGCCAACATCGGTGATCGGTCCCCTGTCAGGGTCCGTATGTAGCCACGTGATATAATACTGGAAATAGAAGTTTGAAGATCCAATAGAGGGAAAGTAGAAGAAAGCATTGACAACGCACTGTACTGTACTGTACTGTACTGTACTGTGCGCTTGGAGTATTTATCCGCTCTGATTCCGAGATCTACAACTAATTTACAATTGTACTGTACACTTTGTGCCACCGCTACAGAGGTGGCAGCGTCTCCCTGCATATCGGGCACTGCAACCTGAACTTCATCCACCCTTCAAGACATACGCTGTGGAAGACATGTCGACACGGAGTGACCATGTAAACTCTCCTCGCCAACATGCCTTGAACACCGCCAGTTGAGGCTGACTCCTTCTCACCCTCATCCCTTGCTGGAGCTATCGGCACCTCAAGCGCATTCATGCAAATCGCACAATCCACAGTCCTACTATGTCCATCGCGTTTCTTCCTCGGCTCTTCAGTCGAGCGTCTTCCATCTGGCGCGGCCTGCGCAAGCCCAATAGGCATTTCACCACCCTCAACGTCGTCGTCGCGGAGAATAGGATGGTAATCCCACGCTTCCGGTAGCCACGTTTTAGGCAGCCCAAATCGTGGACCGAGGACCTCTTGCGCGAAGAGAATCCACACCTGTAGCCACAACCACCCTCCCAGCATCGCCATGGTTGTACCGCTGGTCTCGGCAAAGAATATGTTGTCCTTCCTGAGGTAAAAGTAGGCGATAGGCGCGGCCCTCAGCAGACTCTGCCCAATGACAAACTTCCTCAGCAGGGCTTTGCGGCAGTTGCGCATGATATTTCGGTATATTTGAGGCACCCAGAAGGATAGGTATATGGAAGATAGCATATTAACGTAAAATGTGCGAGCCGCGGGTGGCCATGATATCGAGCTAACCGAGAGGAGAAAGAAGAACATGAGGCCTAAAAGAGCGGGACCAAGTGACGCTGCCATTTCTTGTCGTCGTGTAAGTGGTGGGATAGTAACTCTCTGAGCAGTTGCAGGGGCTGGTATTGCTGCAGCACCATTTGCCAAGTTATCTGCTATCTCAGCATCGACATCCTGGTCTGATGGGACTATAATAGGGCCATTGCCAACCACTGCCGGCGCAGCCGGTGCGGCCGGTGCATTGATAGGGGCGGCAAGGGGTAGGACTTCTGCGCCTCCCGGTGTTATGATAGGAATTCCGGTGGTGACTGGAGCTGGATCGGCCAACGGTGCTGTAGGAGGCACCGTTGCCTGGGCAGCCTGTGGAGCCCGAGCAGCCGCTTGTGCGCGATCGCGTTCACGTTCCCGCTCCCGACGCTCTGGGGCTTGAACTTTGTTGATATCTGCCAAAAACCTGGCCCCCAAACCGACGGCCATAGCACATGAAAAGCCAGCGAGTGTCATGGTGGGGAAAACAGCGGGCGCTGCGTTGGCAACCATCATCAAGCTGAGAAATAGGGTAAAGTCCACGGCGAGCATGAATGAGATGGTGTAAAAGCTGATCCTGCCAACTGTTGATGGTGTCGAGGCGTCCTTCATCTGAGAAAGAAGCAAAAGAACTTGGCCAAAAAGGCACGTACCCCATACGAGGAGCCAATTCTTCACACGCGAAATAAAGGCTTCCAGCTTGTAACCCTGTAGATGAAGGCCTTGAGCTGGTGCATAAGAAGGAGGTCCTTTTGATTCCAGCACAAAGTCACAATCCGGAGAGAAGACAATGAAGGACATTTGAAGTGGAGGTGCCTTTGAGAGTGGTGCGCCCGTTGGAAATCGAAGTTCTTGTTCAATCCGCTGGACGGCGGTTTGCAGAGACGGCTCATCTAGTTTGGAGCTGTGGCTGATCTGCTCCTTCTTCATCGGATAAACCTGTACATATGCAACGTATTCGCAATGAGGCAGTGGCAGCATGCTGTCTTCGGACCATGGGTCTCTCAAATCGATCCAAGCCGACTTCTGTTTGCTGTGTAGGATATCGCCCAACGTTTTATTCAAGGCATGCTGGGTGTCGTTAAATTCATCCTTGTTTGACGTTAAATGTGGCAAGCCATATATGCCAGCAAACTTATTGCTCGTAGTTGTCAACACTAGAGCACCAGTTTGAGGCCATTGGATACCATGGAGTCGCATATCCCACCCGTCGCCTGTGCTGCTCTCATCTTGTACAGTCAGTGTCGCTGTAACCTCCCTGGGTGCCCCCGGCACAATTGGCCTAGTTTCCTGCTCCCCAGGCTCCCCAAAAGCCGGGACTCTGCTATAATCCTCGATCCGCATCATGGCTTTTCCTTCCGCGCCGGTGATATTCCGATTCCATTGATTCCAAGCCCAGTTCGTGCCTGGCGCAATCGCGGACAGATTCAGACCCCAGCCACCCACTCCCTGGTTTTCAAACCCCGACCCTTGACTCTTCACCCAAGGACCCTTAACAATACCAGTTACATTCTCGTACAAAGCCCAATCTTTCTCAAGGCCATGCTTCGCTGCCTGCTGGAAGGTCTCAAAGCGCTCTTTCACCTTGCGTAATCGACCCCAACTATATCCATCTTCCTCTCTGAAGCCTGTGATATTGACATACCGAACATCGGCACCCATCTCTTTATCCTCGCCAATCTCCCTTGGCAAGAAATCTCCCCATCGCGTCTGATTCAACACATCGAGCGAGTGAGACTCTCGTGCCATCTTGGTATTGAAGAGCTCCCTTGGAGAAATCATACCTGGAGGAGGTCCCCCGGCTGGCGAGGAGTAGAAATACATCATCATGATCATCATGATCACGAAGCCCGGATGCGGCGGCTGCCCTGTGACAGGCGCCCCAGGGCGAATCCGGTTCTCGTTGTTCATGGTAGCGACGCGTGATAGCAGCCAAGAGGATAGAGCAGTTATCCAAAGACCATTATTGACCAAGCTGTGAGGTAACTCACACTGTGCATGTCATAAGCAAACTTCAATCACTGAAAGACTAAATGTGGCTTCCAGTTCTCAAGCCTAAAGGAGAGTAGTAGGTCAACCCAAAGGTGTCTCATACGCCAAGCGCTGCCTGGGTGCGAGTAAGGTGGGGATTGGCCACTGAGGCGCGGCCACTTCCCTTATAATACTCCACCAAGGTGTCCAGCGCACTAGTGACGGAACAACTAAGTTCCGCAATCTGGGCCCCAAGACCGACGTCGTGCATTCACAGACCCTAAAGTGTCTATCCAGGTGCTTGGGACTAGCTACTGTTACGACTAACATTGCATATTCTGGGGCTACGACGGCTTGTATGCAGATAATCATGTCAGCAAATGCACAGAACAATGCCGGTGAGGGTTTGACCAGCCGGCCCCTTTCTATTGTATGTACAGGATATTTTTCCCGTATCTCGCGAGTCGATTCATGATACTCATGTTTACTTCATTGACATATATGCGCAGCAACCATCAGCCAACCAGGACGCTCTCGACCTCGTCAAAATGGTTGATGATCTTCTTGACGATATTTCTACCCGCTTTACTGCCACTTCGACCGAACTATTCTCCAAGAGTGCGTTTCCTCAGGCGTTGCTTTCTATACCCCACAACTGACAGCGCCCTCTACAGTGGATGAAATGGCCAGGCGGCTCGACCATCTCGAGTCTTCAATCCTCGCCCGTGACTCTCAGGATGATGCCAACCGCACACCGAAGAAGTGAGCTGATGAATTATCATGATAATGCAATTTGAGTGATGCAAGAAGCAATGGAGTTCGGCGTTCAGAAGGCACAGCCAATATTACTGTCCTGGAAGCAGTTCAGGGAGCCAGGCAACCAGTTGGAACTTCCGCATGCTATTGATACCAGGGGAAGTTATTTGGAGACCAGTCTATCAAGAATTCTGTCCGAACAGGCTGCTGGCGAAAGGGACCCACCATAATCTTGCGACCCAAAGGTCTGTTGAGGGGCTTGGGTAAAGGAAGAATGGCAGTTTTACCCAAGAATCCTTCTCCTCTCTATTCAGCTTCTGTTCGGCTTTCTATGCAGTGAGCTCCTCACTGCGATCCTAGAAAGGGCTGTAATATGATAATCGCAAAGTGCAGTGATTTAGATGTTTACTTTGTAGGCATAATTATGAATCTCACAAGCAAAACGATTTCATTGATGTCTATATGATGGCAAATTGCGGCTTAGCTATATTATAGCACTGCCCTTCCTGATTAAGCTTACAATTCCTCGTGGGCCTTCTTCTCCTGCTCCTTCTCCTCGAAAGTCTTAAGGATGTTGCTTTTGGCAGTCATCTCGTCCTCCTTGACCTTGGCCAAGTTACCCTTGTTCAGTAAACCTTGAAGTCTGGCGAGCTCCTTGGCGGCGTACTCCTTGCTTTCCGACAACTTCGCGAATACCTTGACGTAGTACTCGGCGTACTTCTTCTCCGCGGTATCCTGGAGCTCCTGGGCAATCTTGGTTGCCTCTGCAGTAATCTCGGCGACGTTGGTGGTACCGCCCAGCTTCTTGATGACCTTGTCAAAGGCGTCAATAATGCCAGCTCGGGCATCGAGGCCACCGCCGGGAGTGCGGTGTGTGCCGGCCTTCGCATTGAGGAATTCAAGGAGGTCATTCTCCGAGCGTCCACCAGAGTATGCTACACCCTCAGTGGATCCACGGGGGTAGAACTTGATAGTGGGGTAAGAGCTGACACCCTCGAGAGCGGCAGTCAACTTGGAGTTCTCAGCGTCAGCGTCGACCTTGGCGACAACCACGCTGCTCTCAGCGGCAAAGTCGGTGGCAACCTCTTCCCAGATAGGAGCAAGAGTCTTGCAGTCTATAAGCATAATTAGTACTCCGACCAACAAAGCCTATGACTGTCAGAGGGGAACTTACGACCGCACCATGGTGCAGTGAAAGCAACGAGAACATCCTTGTCGCCACCAATGGCCTCCTTGAAGTTTGCGTCGGTCAAAAACACGACATCACTTGCTGGTGCCTTGGCCTTCCGTGGCTTAATGCCCGTCTTATCCGTAATGAACTTGGTGAGGCTCTCCAGATCCCTTCCACCACTGTAGTCTTGTGGGTCCTTGCTCTTTCCGTCAAAGTATTTGATAGTGGGGAATCCTTGGATGCCGAAGCGCTTCCCAAGGGACTTCTCGGCATCAGCGTCGACCTTCGCGACGGAAACCTTATCGGAGGCGAATTCGAAAGCTTGCGCAAGCTCCTCGTAAACAGGGGCAAGAGTCTTGCAGTGGCCGCACCACGGAGCAAAAAACTCAACGAGAGCTGGCTTTCCTGATAGCACGATTTTGTCGAAGTTATCTGGGATGAGGTCGATAACAGCAGATTTCGCCACTGCAACAGCTGCCAGACCGGCGAGCACAAAGCCCTTGGTGAAGATCATCTTGAAGAGTTCCCTGTGGTTCGTACACTGAAGCGCGAATTAGTCACAGAATACCGAGGAAATCGTGATCAGTTGATGGATTAGAAAAAGACTTACAGATGAAATGTGATTGTTGGTGAAAGAGGATTGTAGAAAGTTCTGGTGATGACAGATTCGCAACCTGGCGATTCTGGTGGCAGGTCCGTTTTGTATGGGGCGTATGGGGCAAGGTAGGACTTGCTTACCATGGCGCCAGATGGTGCAGTACCGTTGTTCCATCCAGGTAAAGCTCGGGCCCGGCAGTAGCCGGTACCATACAGCACTTTGTGTCGCGCTAGTACAGTTTAGTTACGGTTCAGTACAGCTTCCTTCCCCCTGTGCGATTAAGCGCTGAGCCGCAAGCCTCGGCGGTTTTATCTGGCGACTTCATCTGGCGTGACAATAGCAAGAAATAAGAAATAAGAAATTTAAATGTAAAAGGAGAAGAAGAAAATGGGTGTTGCCACGTATGCATGGTCTATGAGATGGGCGGCTGACTATAGAGCAGCATCACTACAGTAGTTATCTCCCTTGCATGACAACCCAAAACACAAATACAAGCCGATAGATCTCCATAGGACGGACTAATTATGGGGGTGGGGTGACTTTGTATATTCACTATGGTTACAAAGATCCTGTTTCCCTCGTGTCCATTGATATCTCCTTGTGGGCGGATGATGTCAACGCCTGCCACCTACAAACGCCAGAATGCAAGGATTCGCACAATGCTCGCTGCTCGCTGTATCATAAACCATTAGGCAGGAGGAGGTAAGCTTGGAAACAAGGCTCAACGCCGCTCAGCCAAGTACTTCGCCGCACTTTCCCAGACATCTTGATCCTCCACTTTGGCCCCCAAAGATTTAACACCCGCGTGAAGCGAGTCGAAAAATTTGAATGCCAGCTCGAGATCGCCCAGGATGTCTTCAGCGTGAGCAATCGGCCATTTCTCGTATCGAGACTTTTCTCGGGCCTTCAATTCTGCCGAGGAGTGACCTTGGTGTTGCTCGTCGAGGTATGTCTTCACTGTGATGCCAAACGCGATGCTGATATCTTCGCCGAAAAGGAGGCTATTCAACTATAGTTAATATATGCACGCATGAAAGGAGTAAGGGCTAAATACCTGGCACCGATTTTCTCCCAGTCCGTGCGATTCTTGCGTTCAGCATGGGAACTTATGAACATTGACGCCGCGACAGCTTCGATCAAGTCACGGTCACATTCCCGCACTGCAGTGATAATGGAATGATGTGCCAGAAGGTTTTTACTAAGGGGGCCAGTGAAGCCGATCTCCTTATGGCGGAGCTTGAGAAGACAGGCGCAGCGAGCGATGAGGAGGCAAAGCTTATTCTGCTCATCGTTGCCCATGTTTGGGCCTCCAATCCACTCATCGTGGCGATTACGAGCATTGAGAATGTCGTGACGCAGAAGCTCGAACGCAAGCAATGCTGCCTCTTCTTGGTTAGGCGTCGGAAGTGCACGCACTGTAGTTGCCAATGCGCTTCCCCAATCAGTGAGCTTGTGCTCGTCATTAATGTACTCTCTCAGGTGAAGAAATCGCCAGAGAGTGTTAGCTACAACCGATTCGGTGGAGACAATACTGCCGGGCTTGGCTGGGGTATCCTTCTTCAATGTCGCCTTTCGGAAATTTTCATCCTCCAAAGCTTTCAAGGCAAATCCGATGGAACCTGGCTGTGCTTTCACATCCTTTAGACTTTGAATGGTCTCGTCGTCAACACGCCACGTGGCGGCTTGGCGATCTGGGGCAGGTGTGACATCTTGGTGGGACATTTTCACAGTCTTCTTGTCGTCGTACCAAAACTTCATCTCGATATTTTTGTGCTGAAATGCCCTGTGCAACCTGCTCGCGTAAAGAGCAATTGTTTGCTCTTGAATAGGTACGAGCTGCTGAGTAACCAGCTTTCTATACTCATCCGACTCGCCTCCATCCAGCGGCGGATAGACATACATTCGAAGGGATCCTAAGGAGTTCAAGACTCTTGGCCCAACGAGTGCCTTGCTTTGATAATGGTAAATTTCCGAGGCTAGTTGAAGGCCGATGTACTCGTGATGGTCCCCGCTCAATTCGTTGAATTTCATGACCTCTAGGGTGCCGTTTGTGGACAAGATAACAGCATGTTTAATGGCCATGCGGCATTTCTGATACTTGTCTTGCCAGTTAGGATCTTGTTTCTGCAAGGCCTCGCTCCAGGTTTCACACAAATTTGCGATGGACTTTCCAGCCGTGCGGTACATGTTAACCGCATCCAAGATTGTAAACGGCTGCTTGGGCACAACTGCAGGGTCGTTGAGAGCTGGAAATGGCTGGAGAGACGGTGTCCCAGTCATCAAATAAGAGTCGATAAAGGTCTCCTCATTAACGTTGAGCTTTTTAAGCAGTTGCGTCTTGACGAGGCCATAAACAAGCCCTTTCTCGAAATCGATCTCTGTTATGAGAGACTCATTGATGTTGTATAGGAGGAGCTCTGGAGGCCCCATGATGCCCACAGCACAGTCGAGATCCTTCGAGTCAATATATGCCATCTGGAAATATTAGTCATACTATCTATAACACTTCTTAGTGGACTGACCTGGGCGCAAGCACTATATGGAGCTACTTCGAAAGTAAGACCGCGCTCGATTAAGATCTGTTGGAAATAGCGTTGTAGGTGGTTGGCTTTGACGGATCCTACACACTGTTTAGTCGGGGACAACCACATAAAGTATCGAACTGCATACCCGTTTTGCCAAATGCGATGACAGCCTCTGTCGGCTGGTTCTGGTAGTATGGCTGCCATGCAGCGTTACTCTTCTCCATTGACGACTTTGCGTCCTTCATAGCCACCTCCTCCAACCCAACTGTGGCTTGGCCATCGAAATAGAACCTGGGCGTAATGCCATGCTTTTGCCACTGGTCAAGGTCTGCATTTATGTGTATTCTGATTGCGAGAGGAAAGCCACCGATGGCAGAGAGAAGAGGTTCGGCCGATGGCGGGGTATCTAAGAATTTTTGGAGGTAATAAGAGGCATGGACTGCAATTGGGGCGTCCCTGTATTCGGCGATAGGCTGCGACCTGGACCAGTTAGCTCTGATTGAGATTTGACTGAGAGGCTGCTCACAGGTTTTGTGACTCAAGGTACGAGTCGCCATCTGGGTCTAAAGTAAGAAATATGTCAGTACAGGCAATTACAGAACTCCAGCCTCTTGTTGGTAGCAAAACGAGGCTATATTCGCAGTACAACCTCCCTCCTTGCGAGGATCAACTATGAACCCAGGTAATTGCTATTTGCTATGGGTGGGAATTGGGGGTCCGTATGTAGCAAGCTCCGCAAGGGCGTAGAAACTTGGGGGTGACTAGAGGCAGACTCACGAGGCATCTTCAGAGCTTTATAAACCGTCGAACTGAGTCTGCTTGTAAAATACGTCCTGCAAACAGGTGTATTTTCTCTCAGTAATGGCGCCCTGCTCCAAGTTTATGGCGAACAAACTGCGTTGTTTTGTTGTAAGTTGGGGCAGATTGGAATGGCCGTGAATCTTTGGACACAGCACACACCCGCTGCGCTGGGGGATTTGGTCTGGCTGTTACGATTGTTCGCTGGGTCGGAAGATGATGTAGCTGCCTCTGGAGTATTAATGTGATTCGGCGGTGTTAGATGGCGCCTCTACGTCCAAGTGAGTACAGAAAGAGCTACTGTGAGAAGGGTATGAATTCGTGTATTTGGGTGAAGTAATATATGGTACACACACAACCACCACAGCACGTACTCCGTACATATACTCTACTGCCAACACCCAAACATCCAAATGTGACGGAACTTGCCGACGTTCTAATTTTGTAAGATGCAACACAACACCAAAATAGGAGACCAATCTTGCAAAAACCCAAATTCCTTATAAAGTATGCATGCTGGTTCATGATAATAACCAGTCACTGTGTCATTTTCAACACTCAGGAGCAAGTGTGAGCGGTCGAATTATGGTCCAAGTCACTCAGATTGTGAAGGGGTCCTTCGTGACAGTGGAAGCACGCAACTCTCACCCAGCAAGCCAAATGCAGTATTTCCCATCGAAACATAATATTCATTAACAATCATATAAAGCTGGTAAGCCATGTTTCCTCATAATGTCCACCAGCCCTTAATTCTCAACTCCTGACCGCCCCCGCCAGCAACCCAAATGAGTAGGTCAAATTCCAGCCAACGCCAACGCTATAGAGGTACAGGTAAACATTCACACTTCCTATCTCCTGCTGAAGTAAGATCATGCTGCTAGCCTCCTTTTAATCGGAGCCGGCGCATCCTTTCCAGCTGCAGTTTTCTCCCCGTCATCCTCTCTCAACCTCGCCATTTCCCCTAACCTCTTCAACTTATCTAGTAAATTACTGATAGGTAGATAAGGCCTTTGAGCTTCAATAACGAGATTCTCCCTAGCTGCAATTTCATCCGCGTGCCATAGGAAATGGCTTTGCACTTTGGCCCGGCCGTCAGGTTCACCCGCATTTGGGATCGTGTGCCCGCAAGCCTCTTTGTGACATGTCCAGAGTCCATTTGGGCCTTGAGGAGCCGATGAGGGGAGGACAGTGGACTCAAGATCAAACTCTATCGGCAGTTCGTCCCCGTCATCTCCTTCGTCCTCATCTTCCTCAAATTCGTCTTCGGCGGATTCTTCTTTCGCAGCGGCATCTTTCATTTTCTGTCGTTTTGCGGACCTCATATCAGGCTCATCGTCATATGGTGTCGGCGACCGCTTCTGTTGGCTGGCAGGTGTACTTTTCAACCGGAGACCAGCGGCTTTTCCAGCCCCCTTTCCAGCCCCTTTGCCTGCCCTTCTGTGCACGGGTTCAGGAGTCGGCGAGGGTTCTGCCACTTCACGCTTTTCATCTTCTATGCCGTCGCGCATTAGCAACACCAATCCAATCGCTTGCTTGTGACACTCGGCATCTGCCACCTTCTGATGCCCTGTAGAAAGTATTTCAAGTTTATGGAATATAGGGCTGCCAGCCCACTCTTCGCCCAACCCGTGGTATATCGTCTTGGCGTGCACTTGAATAACTTCTTTTGCAAGGTCTTCGTCGATGATTTCGAACCGTTCATACATAATTCGTGCTAGGGACCTAATATTCATTCGTGGTATTCGTAGGAAACCCGATGTGTGTAAGTCGTTCATAAATTGGAGGATCGTGGCAGCCGCGCCTATCGGCTTGTTTTTGGCCGCTTGCGACGATGCTGGTTTCCCCTTGCTACCAGATTGATCAGTGGCGCTTATGCTTGCCTGCCTACCGGTAGGATTATGCTGCTTGGTGATATCTGGTGAATTCTGCACCAGCCATTTGAAGAATGGTGTAGTCTTCCAACCCATATCGGCCGAACTTCTGTTTTTCATCTGCGAAAGCAAGAACTTGGCATGTTCCAAGCATAGCTTCTTCATCTTAGCCTGCGTAGATTTATTTCCCTTTTCTTTAATACACTACAAGAGCAACGTTAAAAAATAGACCGTAAATCTTTGGGCGGCTTAGTATACCTTATCGAGAACCTGTTCGACGTCAGGAGGCTTCTGGCTCTTCCCTTTGCCCCGCGATTTTGTGTCCGTATGTATGTCGCAAAGTATATAATACAGCTCAATTGCCTCCGTCATCCTGTTATAGATTTCTTGATAGATCGGTGCTGGCTTGATTTCGAACCAGCCCGCTTTCCCGTTTGCCCAAAGTGTTATCGGACCATCACCGATACTGAAGCCCCGCACATTGGTAACCTCCACCAAGCAATCTTTATATTCTTTATCTTTTAGGATGCCTGCAAAATAATAAGCCAATGTTGGGATGCACATATGAATTCTATACTCACGGAAATGGTGGTAATCCCGGTCAACCACAAGCTTCCCGCGGATTGAGAAAGGGCCCTCAAGCTCAGTGTGAAGAAGGTTGGCCAGAGTCTCGCCATCCTTCCCATATACAACAGCATCCTGGAGAAGGTAAATTGGCCAGTCGTCCGACCCGATGGTCTTCGACACGGGTTGCAAAACTTCTTCCTCACTTAAGCACTTCGTTGAACGGGATTGGGAGGCGGCGTCAGTGTCGCATTCCGTAGTCGAGACCTTCCGCCCCATTGTGTCCAAGATAAAGTCTTATCGTGGCATGGATGGTAAATAGATCTGGCGTTAGATACGCAGCGGCTTTGATATCTTGTGATGGCGATATGTTATTCCTAGCAGAAAAGAAATCCAAAAGATAGCCTCCATTTATAATTCACAACGAGACTATGCTGTACTTGAAGTGAATATGGGCGCGTGCCGACGCGACCCAGGTACCAGTCGTTCAATGACTCGATAAGCGCCGCTAAATAATATCGATAAGAAACCTTGACACGGGTAATAGGATATTTTAGCTTGCAACACGTTTGTTGGTCACCTTGAGTTTCCACCTGTGTATCATACAAACCAAAACTCGAACGTATGTCCGCCAGAGCCGGACATCATTTCTGGAGAATGTCGCAAGGAAAGATTGCGGAAGGAGTCTTTGGTTGGTCTTTGTCTGGATATTTCCTTTGAAACGACGGCTAACAACCACCAGCACTACACAAACCTACCGGAATTACTTCAGCAGGCGTAATTAGGGAACTACAAAGAAATTTCGATTCTTCCAATCTATTTCAGCCGCTACTTGATGCCCAAAGGGCCGCGATCGAGAAAGAATCGCATAATCAAAAACGAAAGCGCAGGAACAAGAAGATCAGTGTTAAGACCGGTCATGGAGGAACTCTAGATCCTATGGCAACAGGAGTCCTGACAATCGGAATTGGCAAAGGCACCAAAGTTCTTCAGAGCTTCATTGACAGCACGAAGACATACGATACCGTCGTACTTTTCGGGGCTCAAACTGATACCTACGATCGAGAGGGCAAGATATTGAAGCGTGGGCCATATGGCCATATTACGAAAGAGATTGTCGAGAAGGCCTTATCACAATACAGAGGCAAAATTATGCAATTGCCGCCGCTATACTCCGCATTAAAGATGAATGGCAAGCCGTTATACGAATATGCGCGTGAAGGAAAGGAGTTGCCAAGAGAAATCCAAAAAAGGGCGGTTGAAGTCAAGGAACTTGAAATGTTGGAGTTCATGCCAGGCGGAACTCATGAGCACAAACTTCCTACCGAAGAGGCTGGGTCGGCAGAAGTAGATGTTGCCGAGAGGTTATGGAAGTTAGAAAGGGAGCAGGAGACTACTACCGATGGCTCCGCAACTTCACCATCCGCGAAAAAGCGAAAGGTTGACGAGAGTCAAGACAACTTAGTGACCGGACCCCAGGGAACAAAACGACGAGGCTCTATATCAGCAGAGGGCGAGTCTGTCAAGATGTCTGGGGCACTGCCCACTGAGCAAGCTGGAGCAGAGAGCCAATCGGCAGACGCACCGCAGGTTGGACCACCGGCTGTCAGGTTAAGGATGACAGTCACGTCAGGGTTTTATGTCAGGTCCTTATGCCATGATCTCGGCGAAGCTGTTGGATCTCAAGCAATCATGGCTGAACTTGTTAGGACAAGACAAGGTCAGTTTGAGCTAGGGAAGAACGTCCTTGAATACGAGGACCTCGCGAAGGGCGAAGAGGTATGGGGCCCACAAGTCTCCAAGATGCTCGATGAGTGGTCTGGAGAATACAGGCCTTTTGCCGGGTCGAATGCAGAGAGCAACATTGCGACTGAGCAGAAGCCCGTTGCGCCCACCGAACTGGCGGCTGCACCAGCGGCTGCACCAGCTGTTGCACCTGTGGAGGCGGCTGAGGAAAAGCCAGCTGCATCCACTGAGCCAACGGTTGATTCTGTAGAGACGGCTAAAGCCGAGGCTGTGTAGTATGCATATGGTTGCTCATAAAGCTGCTCATATTTAGCCATCACCTTCCATTAGAGGTGACTTGTTTGTGACTTTTAAAGTCGTGTATTAATAAATAACTACTTAATTGAGCTGGTTCTCCTATGATGATGCTGTGCGTTTCTAAAACTATAAGGTGGTATAACAAACATAGCGCGCTTTTGTGTCCAGGATCTACGGATCCAATAGCCCAAGCCCAGACCCAAGTAATGCTTCCCTTCCAGTGACCACAACAACCTACCACAAATCTTCGACCAGGTCTCACCTATTCAACCGGGCTATAATGTTGCAACAAAGCGCCTGTGAAGCATAGAGCCATCACTTATCCCCTTGTGTGGCAAGGAGTCCCCTCACCCGTTCAATTCTCCCCATTGCTCCCTCAAGCCGCTCTAACCTCTTTCTCTTTTCTACATCTCTCCGCTCAAGCACTGCAACGCGTTCCTCTAATTTCGCTCGGGCCTTCCGCTCTGTTGCCACCATTTCGTTTGCCTGCTCAAACAGTTGCTGGCTTAACTCTTCCAGTTCTCCACTCGCTTCGTCTAGCTTCCCTTCCGCCTGTTGCCGTAAGACCTGCTCTCGGCTCAGTGCAGCGGCGAGGTCCCGCTCAGATGTGGTAGTGGAGGGTAGAGGTGGCTGTTGACCGAGATTAGGTACTGATTTGCGAGAGGTGAGGAAGGATGAGAGCCTGTTCTGTATCGCGGCTGGCGGGGTGCTGGTGCGCGCTATTTCTTGCGATGCACACTGCTGGCGCATCATCTGGAGTTCGTCTTCATAGTCTGCCCATCTGTCCACTACAATAGAGTAAGTAAGTCGACACCATGGTAAAGTAGCTAAGTGAGGGGAAAGAGAAGTCGCAACGAACCAGCAGCAGTAGCCTTTTGGGTCAGAAGGCGGACTTGTGCCTGAAGATCTTCGATTTGTCGCTGTGCATCAAGTGCTAGGCGTGATGAGTCCAAAGAGACTCCAGAACCACAATTTGGACAGGATAATTGGTGTTCCGTGTCAGCCAGCTGTGGGGCTACCGGTAACGTCATTGTAGACATCGTGGGCGTGGTGTTGTACTATGCTCCGTACCTCTGATGTCGAGAGTTGGTAAGACACAGAGCGGAACAGTTGGAAGATATAGACACGACGTCGGAGACGGTGAAAGAGTCTTGGTATGCAGCATCGGCGGTGCCACATTAAACATAAAATAAGCAGCTGCTGATCGACGTGTCGCACGCCGCTCAATTCTCTGGCAGCCAGCCATGTGCTTTTTGGGGAGGAGGGAGGAGAATGTGTGACAGGGGTTGGTACATGGGTACACTATACGACCCAGGCGGTGTCAAAGAAGGGCTATCAAACGAAACCAGGAATAACATGTACTCTTAAGAACAACAAGGGAAATAGCTGTAGACATGCAACTTGTTATCTTTTGTAAATCCGGAAATAAAGGGACATGATCCAAAGGCATAGTCTTTTATCTTTTACCACATCCGTCCGACTAGGCCACTCTGATATGCCATAAACTACAAGTCAAATATACCCAGTAATGCCGAAGATCACGATCAATATGCCGAAAGCAATGCTGCACTAGTCACGCGACCTCTACAAAGAACAAATTTAGGAGTGAGGTTGGCATATGGGAGGTTTGTTTGTGTAAAGTTGGTGAATTCCTTCTTTATCACGCGTAGGGCGGGGTCCGATTTGCATCAATAACCGATGAATCACTTCCAAAACCAGGCAATTGTAGAATGGCGCTACATTCCACAACTTCACAGAACATCGATTTCGACGAACGCGGCCAGGCATCAGCCAAATAGTGCCCCGAAGAGGCCCGACAGTTCAATCCCTGATCAGACGGAGCTTTTTAACAGAGCATAATTCATTTGTTGAGCAAGTTGCATTGATTGTAGAGCATAGCTACGTCTTTGCACTGCCTGCCGCTCATGAAAACAACGCACCCCTGTCCCATGCGAGCCCAAAAGAAACCACTTAAACCTCAGTCGTAACCCGAGCCTTGGCGTTGGTAACCTTGACGCCGAGCTGCTTTGCGCGTGCGACAATATCGACTCTCTTCCTCGACGAAACGGAGTGGGAGATCTCAGCGGCGAAGGTCTTGTTGTGCATGAGGAGGAGGTCAACATCACGGACGTTGCTGACGAGGAAAGCCTTGTGGCCGGAAGGCATCATGTGGCGGGTCTTCTTGTTGGATCCGAAACCGATCTACGCAAAAAAAGTCAGTCCCACGCTTCGAAGTATTCGATCGACAGGCCGCGAAGCCATTCAAGACGTACAGATGGCATAACAGCCTGGCCGCTAAAGCGTCTGCGGACACGGTTGTCGATACCCTTTGGCTTTCTCCATGACGGGTCGACTCTCATGAATCGATCACTCTGATGTCTGTTGAAGCGCTTCGTGCCTAAACAAAGAAATTAGTCAAGCGCTTTGAGGGAGAACCGGCCACCAGTGCGTAATCTCAATCGGAAGGTATTCGTTTTGGTGTAGGCACAGGCGGTCGGAAACGAAGTGGCGCAGGAGTTGACATACGCTTCTTGACGATCGGGACATGCTTCTTTGCGGCAACCATCTGGAGAACACTTAGTATATTGCAATTCGTCTTCGAGAGTTTTCTGGGCAGAGATGGTCGTACCTTGACGTCGGTTTGGCGATTTTTGGTGGTTGGTCGTTGAGTCGAGTCGAAGAATCAGAACGTCAGAACTCTCCCAGTCGGCCAATATTTTCGCTAACTTCCAAAAATGCTCTGGTGTGTGCCCTCGGCTCGCTAAGAGTGGTGCAGAGACGCTAAGAAGACCCTTGCACATCACGTGCTTCTGATATTTTTGATTTTGAAGAGGCGCGTAGATAGCGCTTGAGGCACGTGATCACATATATGTCCCCAAAAAAAGGTGATAAAGATGTTTGTACCCTATATCTATATACGATCCCCTTCTGCCCTGGTCTTCTTTCTCACTTTACAAAGCCATAGTTCTTTCAGCATCGGCTACAATTTCCACCAATGCCACAATTTACTACACTCGGATCAATTGGCAAGTTCACTGTACAGTGGATTCAATACTCCTCCAGCAGAAATCTTCGTCACGCGTCTCAATTGTAGTCATCTATCTGTCTTAACCCTGCACCAAGATTATAATAACGCCTGTTACTATGTCACCTTGACCGTCTAAGTAAGCCATCCACATACAAAACTATTCGCCGATATAGCCGCGATATAGTCATCTATTGCTGTGCGCATTGAGGGGCACCCTCGTCCTCATCATCATCCTCCCACTCTGCACCTCGGCCGCCTTGTCCTGCACTTGCTCCAAACTATCGTATATTAGCCACGTTCGGTCTGTCAAATTCTGTAGAATAGCACTTACTTCCTCGATGTCAGCATCCTCCGTAAAGGTCACCTCATCAATCTCAGGGGCATCAATTGGAGCGTTAGGCTTCGGTAATATGGCCTCCAGTTTGCCGAATGAAGCCTCATCCTCTATCCAGCCGTTGTCCGGAAACTCGATATTAATAACCAAGTAGAGGTCTCCCTTCGCATCGCTTTTCTTGTGTGGCATGCCCTCTCCGTCGATCTTGAGGACCTGTCCTGGCTTTAAAACCTTTCCTCTTGGATGGTCGATATGTATGCCACGTCCATCAAGGTGTTTGACGACAACTCTGGAGAAGCCGCACAAGGACTCAGCCAGGGTGACCTTCAGTTCTGCTAACAAATCGTGGCCCCTACGCTGGAATACATCGTGATCTTCCTCAACGAGTGTGAACACGATGTCTCCTGGAGTCTGGTCGGGAACTTGGTCTGCCTCGCCTTCAAGGACGATTCTGTCTCCTTGCATGGCGCCTCTGGGGATATATATTTCCAAAACCTTCTTCTCTGACGTCGTGCGCTTGCCCTTACACTTGCGGCAGCGATCCTTCTCCTTGAAAACGCTTCCGGTGCCAGAGCATGAGTCGCAAACAATGCGCTCTTGCGTAACCATCCCAGGGCCGACTTGGCGCAAGCCAATCTTCATTCCTTTCCCTTGGCAGGATGAACAGCTCTTGGGCTTTACCGATTCCTTGCCACCTGTTCCCTTACAGTGGCTGCAGATAACATTCTTTGTGCTCGCAAACTTCACTGTCTTTCCTTTGTAGAGCTCCTCAAGTGTCACCTCATAGGTCTGCTCCTCATCCTTCCCACGGCGGGGTTGCTTCATCCCAGGGCCTCCGCCAAATCCAGGCGGCATACCGCCACCACCCATGCCAAACATTTGCTGAAGAATATCATCTAAATCAACCCCGCCATCCATGCCGGGGCCACCCGGTCTGCTTCCATCGAAAGCGGACATGCCGTGTGTATCGTAGAGGTGTCGTTTATCTTCATCATGGAGAATTTCATATGCCTGGCTCACACTCTTGAACTTGGTATCTGCCTCTTCACGCTGGTTCTCTGGAACCTTGTCCGGGTGGTGTAGCAGAGCTGCCTATAATCACGTCAGACACAGGTGGTTACTGAGCAGATTCTGCACCGGATGACAAACCTTGTGATATGCCTTCTTAATCTCTGATTTGGTCGCGGTCTTTTCGATACCTAAAGTGACTTTTGAAAACAATCAGCAAACAGAGATTCAAGTTGCATTCAGGTCTTGCCACACACCATAGAGGTCGACCTCTTCTGAGCCATCCCCGGAAGACATTACAAGATCGTTTGCGGGCTGTGAGTCTGTTTCTGAAAGAGCAAATATGGGCAGAAAGCAAAGACGATGCAAACGCCTTCCCGTAAAATATAGATGGGGATTATTAAGCTTTCTAGAGTCCTCGAGACTCTGTAGCACTGCAGAGTAATGCAATAATTTATTATCTTAGCGTCGTCCAGCGTCCAGGCATAGGAAGTTGGGCGGCGGAATGTGGGGTGGAAGGCTGGGAGACGCTCGGGCCACCTTTAAGGAATTTAACAAATCTTTATGGGACCAAAAAGCCTGAGGGACCTTATCCGAACCTCGCCCGAACCTCGTTGACGCTAACGTGACGCTGAAAAAGGAGGATTACAGTATCATATTTGGTTGCTCTATAATACGGCATTGGGTCCTGCAAAATATCCCAGCGGTTTCCAGTTATTTGTTCTTTGGTTTCTTTTTAAGTAATGTCATTATTGTTCATTGGGAGTAGTAGAAGGACTTTGACACCTCTATGGACATGCTCCTCTTGTCGAAGGAGGATCTCCAAGCTAGCCACCGCTGGAACGGCCAGGCCTACATATAAGCTTCCAGAAACCCCAGCACGAACGCGTTTTGCTCCTTCTCCCACAGGATACCTTCATCTTGGGTCACTGAGGACTGCCCTTTTCAGCTATTTGCTGGCCAAATCTACGAATGGCCAGTTCCTCCTCCGTATTGAAGATACAGATCAGGTGACTTTCCTCCACCCCCTTTCAATATTCTTGTTGGGTCCTCAAGGGTTAAATCTGGATTAACATTCTCCAGCCCAGGACAGTCGCAGATGCCGAGACTAGGATAAAGGAGGATCTGAAATGGGCAGGCTTGCACTGGGATGAAGGTTAGTCCCTACCTCGTTTGTTGACATCTGTGGGCTTGCACTAAACTGCGACAGGGCCAGATGTGGGCGGCCCGTACGGTCCATATAAACAAGTAAGTGCTACTCTTGGTTGATGGCTCTCCAATTCTGACACGTGATGTAGTCTGAAAGATTGGACATCTATCGGGACCATGCCACTAAACTTCTCGATACCGGTAGAGCATACCGATGCTTTTGTCCCAGGGAAAAGCGGAACTTGGGCGAGGCGGGCTTACATGCATCTGCTGGGTTTAAGTCGCACGATTGCAATCGAGTGAGCAAGGATACATCTGATGGCAGGGCTGCTCATGGTGATCCATTTGTTGTCCGATTAAAGCTTCCCGAATACACGAAGCGGTATAGAGACCTCGTCTTTGGAAATGTGGCGAGCTCAAAAGTATCCCCAATGGATGCGGATCCAGTTCTCATGAAGTCTGATAACTGGCCAACCTACCATTTGGCCTGTGTTGTTGACGACCACTTAATGGGAATTACTCATGTGGTTAGGGGCTCAGTAAGCAGATGATAGTGAATTGTGAAGTATCATAATGGAGCTAACTCTTCATAGGAATGGATTCCATCTGTACCTACACATCACCACCTATATGATGCGTTTGGATGGCAGCCGCCAACCTTTGGGCATGTGGGACTTCTCACCGATCTGAACGGACAGAAACTTAGTAAACGGAACTTTGATCTGGATATTTCTGCATTCAGAAACATGGGTGTGCTGCCGGATGCCCTCTCCAACTTTGTTGCACTTTTGGGATGGTCGCATACCCAAAAAAAAGACACCATGGATCTTCAGGAGTTGGCAAAAAATGTTTGTCGACCCGTTCTAACACGCCTATAATACGTGTGCTGATGAACTCTACTTCTAGTTTTCTACAAAATTTACCAAAGGCGATACCAAAGTATCATTTGACAAGCTCTGGTTCCTCCAGAGGCAGCATGCGCAAAGGATCATCACCTCCGCTAAGACTCCCGATGATGTTCAGTCTATAATTCAGCCCGTCTTGGCCGCCCTAAAACAAAACTGCTCGTCATGGGTTATTCCGGAGAGTGGCACGCCAGCCGACCAGCAGGACCGACTTCTCCAGATCCTGAAATCGGATGCGCCAAATTATAAGAATGCCGGTGATTTCGTCGAGCGTCACAAGTATACATTTGATGGGCCATCTGCTGAGGATCTCATCTCTATCAAATCACCCATAACTGTTCTCGGGCATTTATGCCACTTATCGAATTTACCAGAAGAGGTCAAGCCCGAGGTCGTTAATTCTAGTATCGTCAAGGTCGTACAGCAGGTCTCCGCTATATTATCTCAAGAAGACCCATCGCTTTCTACGGATGAGAAAGGTAAAAGGCTCCGAGCCCATTTCTCAAATGTCGTACAGAATACAGTTTCGCAAAACCTACGAGAAATCAACGTTTCTGACAACGAAGACTTATTTGTCGCATTGAAGAAGTCATGGGCGGCATTGTTACATAAGTATATAAGGTGGGCATTGGTAGCCGATACACCTGGCCCCGATAGTGCCAGTCTTATAACAGCATTGGGGCCGATGGAAACCCTGCGGAGATTTGACCAAGCAGAGAAAGTAGCCCTTGGTCAACTTGGGTCCAATGAGATGGCCGATGTAGAGAAGTAGGATCAAGAGAGATGTATATACTAGGCGGGAATGAGGAGTTTTGTTAGTAACGGGGATGGGGTTCGCTGGTCTGGGAAATCCTTTGCCTGTCCAGTGAGCAGTGTAATATAGTACTGTACAGATTATGTTATATATACCCATTTCAAGGTTCTTAACGAAGCGTGAGGAATGCAATTGATGTACAGATATAGGCAAGATTGATTCATTGTAAATATAGTCAGTCTCCGGTCTTTATAAAACACTCAACCTTTCGGTAAATCGCTCCGTACGCCACGCTATGCCATCAATTCAACAGGCCAAAGAGTCGTCACCCCATTTCCATAGTAGAAGTGCATCATCGTCTTCGCCTGGTCTCAGGTCTATTGAGCCAGCAGCTACTGGCCGCCACCTGAATTCACATCCACCTGCTTGGTACTTTCGGCGCTTCCGACTCCATTGAAAAGCTGCGCTTTGACTTCACCAGCCATTAATCCAATCCTAACTTCCCCGGCGATCTTTTTACTATCCTTTGAGATTTTTTCCATCTCTTGGTCAGCTGCTCGAGGCATGCCCGGTCCCACTGTTAACTTGTTTGCGCGCGACGTGGCTGAGGCGGCTTGGCCAATCTTGTAGCTTAAGTCAAGCATCTGCTTACTGCTGTAGTCACGGTTGGTGAAGAGGGAGTTTTGGCTCAGTGTCTGCGTCCAGTATTTGTTCCACAATAGCTCCAGCAGGTGTGAGTCGAGTGTGCTCTTGAAATGGGTAACTTCCAGAGAGTAATAGCGGCTGCTATGAGCACCGAAGTCTTCCACCTTAGCCAGAGGGATCGTTTGATACCCGTCTCTCGATGCATTTCCTTCCTCCTTGTAGTCTTCAGGGAAGGTTCTGAAGGCGCCAATCTCAACCTTGCCTGCGGAAATCGTGCGATCTGGGTCGATCACAACGGCCAAGAAGGGATCTGAAAACTGTTGCTGAGTTGCTTGGGTACCAACATCAATACCACTGAGCCAGCATCCATAGCCAGGGTGACTGTGGTACCAGCCAACAGCATTCTCCATCTTCCCTGCAGCACGACAGGCTTCCAGATATCCCACCATGTATTCGTTTGCCTCGTCCTGGGCGTTAACCCGCGTTTCAGTTCCTTCAACAGGCAGGCGGAAAGCATCGGTGACGATGAATGTATCACCAGATATTTTGCCTTGCATCAGCCCCATAATTTCAACGGACCCTCCTGACCTGGCATGCATCACCATCTTCAGAAGAGCAACGGCGGAAATTCGGACATTTTTGAAATGGCGAGGATTGGTTTTCCATGGCTTAGCATCATTGATAGCTTTCTGCTCGGTAGGGTCATATGAATATAACGCATCGCGATGAGCATCTACAAGCTGGACGTTGTTGTCGAGCTCTGTATGTCTCGATGTCAGCTCGGGGCGGTCAACTTCAGATTCACAAGTGATTACTTACCCCATGCCCGCCGTGCGGTATCCATGATTGCCCCAGGTATGTATCAGAATCCAACAAGACCTGATGCTCGATCGCCGAGATAGACCTTGTTGGTTTGGAAAGCCTAGAAGGCTGTTGAAGTGTAGTGGGGTGTGTATGGTGTGAGGTGGTATGGAGGCAGCAACGGGAGTGGGGTCGGGAGGATTGTCACTGGCAGAATATTAGCGTATTGGGACTAGCGCGAAACACCTACCGCCCAAAGTCATCATGGGTTCATCGTACAAACGGTTGCTATGGTTGCTGGGTAAACAGACGTTCTGGTCCCGAAATAAACACGCGCCTATCCAATATGTACCCCATCATCGCGATATTCCGCTAGCTACTGGCCAGTACTCTACGATATTACACAAACAACCACGAACGCGTCCAGCCCGACTTCGTTGCTGATGAATTGTAACACATAACAAAAAAGGCTTTTGCCATTGCAACTCATCGCTCCCGCCCATTCCAACTGCGCAGGGCACTCACTGTCACTGTCGGTGGTCAACGAATGACCCACATACAGTCGCAAGTACAGTCGCAGCAACACACAATATACACCCACTAAACCTCCGGAATATCTTCTCCGCCATGGATACCAGTTATTTGTCGTCGCAGGTGTCGTCTATTGTTGGCCAACTTCATGGTCTCTTCGATGAGATTGGAGTACCCAACCATGATAGAGAGTCGCGCGAGGCGGAGGTATGCATAGGTTCCCCCCATACCTGCACTGTGGTATCATGGATGCGTTATAGAATGACACAAGCTGACACTATATGTGCTGTAGCTATTTGCTGCGCTATCTGAAACACTTCACAACCAAGTGCGAATAGTTTCAGCAGAAAAGAACGAGATGGCTGAGGAAGCGCATCGCATTATCACAACTATCAAACAGATGGAGTCGTCCCTCGATGACTCCAAGGACACCCATGATTACAATGTCGAAGATCCGTCCCTAAAAGTTTCATACCCTTTGATTCAATGTTTACAAACCTTGAAAGAGAAGCATTTGCAAATCAGCAAAATACACAAGGAGCGCTTCGAACAAGTTAAGAGTGAGTACCGCCTGCAAGAACTTATGTCATTTTGCTAATTATTTAGAACTTGTCCAAGCTCTTGAATCCTATTCGTCGCATCTGGAGTCTTCATTTATCAGAATTCCATTGCCGCCTACCACCGCCAACTCATCTGTGCCTCCAACATTTGACCTCTCCCCGACCTACGTTACATCTCTTGATAATGAGTTTACGCGTGTGTATGAAGAGTACACTCGTCGCGTTGCAACCGTGAAAGCTCTCTCAGAGAATATCATTCAACTCTGGGCCGAACTTGGAACACCACAAGCGCAAACCGATGCAGCAATTGTTAAATACTATCGGGATTCTCCTGAACAGCTCGGTCTCCATGAGGATGATATCGCAAGGCTTCGAAGCAAGCGCGATAAGCTAGGCGATGAGAAGAAAGCCAGGGAGAGGCGCCTTAAAGAACTACGCACCACAGTCGAGGGTCTCTGGGAGCGCCTTGGAGTCGACGAGCCAGAGAGAAAGAGATTCCTCAACAATAACCGAGGATGCGGCGTGCGGCAGATCAACGAGTTCGAAGACGAACTTTCAAGGCTTAACGAGCTCAAGAGGCAAAACCTCCATTTGTTTGTTGAAGATGCTCGATATAAACTCCAGGAGCTATGGGATGGGCTCTACTTCTCAGAGGAGGAAATGCTCGAATTCACTCCCGCCTTTTCAGATGTCTACAGCGATGCCTTGCTTGAAGCACACGAACAAGAAATTGATCGACTCGAATCACTGAAGGAACAACGTGCACCAATGCTTTCCCTTATTGACAGGCACCGATCTCTTGTGAAAGACCGAGACGACCTTTCGGCGGCAAGCCAAGATGCTTCCAGACTTATGATGCGCGGTCAGAAGGGCGAGAAGCGTGATCCTACGAGACTGCTGAGAGAAGAGAAGATGAGGAAGAGAATTGCGAAGGAACTGCCGAAGGTGGCAGTCGACCTGCGTAAGTCTCTTGAGAAATGGGAAGACGAGTATGGTAGACCTTTTATGGTACATGGTGAGAGGTATCTCGATGAATTAGAAGCATCCGAAGTCAAACAAGCGCCGGGACCACGATCAAGGACCCCAGCAGCACCACCGCCAGCCCCTGCAAGAGCTCAAAAATCGGCTCCTGCAAGCCGCGCCAACAGCATGAGACCGCCTCCTTCCAGAGCTGGAGCAAAGACTCCGGTCGCTCAGGAGTCAATCAAACGAAATCCCCTGGCAAGCTCTGTTTCAGCTGCAGGAGGCAGGACTCCTTCAAGAATCCCCGCACGCGCTCCGCTATCCAGCCTCAAACACGGAAATAACTCCCCCGAGAGGAAGGCGCAAGCAGATAAGAGGCCCGCCACTGGGACAGTCAGAAATATGGGACCACCAGCTCGCGCTCCGCCTCCCAAGATGAGGGAATTTTTTGAGCCACCTCGTGAATCTGCCTCGGATTCAAGGAGCGAAAGCTTTGAGTCGAACTCAATTGTGCGCCACGTGCCTCCCGAGGATGTTTATGACGATCGTAACTACGAGCAATATTCCCGTGGCTTCTCGAATGCGAATTCCTACTCATCCTCCATGCGCCAAGACGAGCGTGCACCAAAGTTCTCATGTCCTCCAAATCCGCCAAGTAGGCAGATTTCCAACACATCAGCATCTGCCACGACGGTATCAGGATCCGAAAACTGGGAGACCTACGACGACGTTTCAGAGCCAGAGCAAGATGCTTCGGACGACTACTATGCTCGGCTTCGGGCTGCACGCGGGAAGCGCTTTACACCTGAGGATGGATACGCACCTCCCCAGGGTGCTCAGATGAAGAAGCACAAGGGATACCCTCCTGAGCTTCATGCTGGTCATGTGGTTGTGGATTCCCACGGAAATCGGATCATGTCTGGTAGCGAGGCAAACTGGACAGACGAGGATGCCTTCTAAGTCGCCATCATCGCTTCTTCTCTGAAGTTATATGCTGGCGGCGCATATACTTCAATCTTGACTTGTTTGGTCGTTATGAGTATTGAGTAACGGTTACACGATACCCATGGCAGGCTTTGAGTTGTTCGATGCTATGTTCTGCATAAAAGCAGTACTGGTGTCATGATGTGTTCATTTCTTGTATTTTTTTGCTGGCATTGATCTTCCATGGATTGTATTGTGTTTTGTAGGCGTTGTACTTTGATGGATATCAGGAGGATCGGTCTGGGAATTATGGGTTTGGCTTGGTCCGGCGTTGAAGGGGAAGAAGATATGGCCAGCACATGACGTCTTTGTCAAATGTTAAGAGTAGAAATGTTATCTTGCGTTTCAATACATTTGATTCGCTTCAATAATGCAATGATGATACTTTAAAGAATTATCCAAATCGACAAAATCAATATCAGCCTTGTTTACATGGAAAGTCGTCTTGTCAGCCTCGCTATTATATATAGACAATCATTGGTGTACTATGTATAGAATTAGCCAAGAAAGTGGAACCAGAACCCTTCATACGTCAGCTGCGCCCAACTACTGTACTTGTACTCTAACTTAACGCATGGATAAAGTGACAGGACCGGCGACCATCGGCGAATACGAATACACTTTGCGCACTGTACTCAACAATAACAGATCGGATAACATTAATACAAATCCGTTGCCACCATCGTTCTAGCAGTGACATGCATATCCATATCTTTTGAAATATTCATGAAGGTTTGCCTATATGGCAAGCTTCTCTTTATACTCTTACGGCCTAATCCTGCCTCTAGCTTCTTCCAATGGCTACCGGTGATGCACCGCATGACAGCGAACTAAGGTCCCCGAGACCACCCACAGGCCCAAAACAGAATGCCGCCCTTCAAGGTGCCACGATGGCATTTGGCAAACCGCCTGTGAAACCGAAGCCAGCACTGAAGACTATCAACCAGAACCCAGCTCTCGCTGCGGCGTCCAAGGCAGGCAGGGACTCGAATCTAGCTGGGCGAACAGTCTCGTCGCAAAACACTGGGACAACCACAGATGACGACGTTGGAGATACCGTGGCGCGCCATCATACTGGTAGACGTATTTCGGGGGCTGGACTGGATGGTGGACCGGTCCGCAGTAAGCTTAACGACTTTCCTGTGGACGAAAAGAAGCCTATTCAACGACAGGCAAAGGGGAATTCCGAGTCACACATCGCAGCTAATTTAGCAGCATCAAGATCTGTCAGCACGAGTCCAAATCGAAAGCCAACTACAGGGCAACAACGGGCAGTATACAGACTGGGAGGGCAGCACAATGCAGAGTCGAGAGAGTTGTTGGAGAACACCAATGGCTATTTGAGCCCTCTATCGGCCGAGACTAATGGCAACGCATTTATACCTCCGACTTCACAATTAATCAATGCATTCGAGAAAATCTCCTCTACGCCCTCGAAAACAGATGCAAGTCCCCGATACCAGCGCCCTCTATCTTACTCAGGGAACGGTCTATCAAGCCCCAGACCAGAGCCTAATCTTCCAAGTCCAGCACCGAAGTCCCCGGAGATCAGGACTAGCCTTAATAATCCAAAGCCAAAACCAAAACCAAAACCGAAGCCAGAAACTTTGCCAGGGAGAGTCTTGCCAGAAAGCCTAGGTGCCTACTCTCCCATTCCAGAACCAGATCTCGCAAAAAGGAGGCCTCTACCACCATCTATATCCACGACAAAACCCACAGAGAAATATACTGAGAAACATATAAACAAAGATCACATAGCATATCCAAGCAATACAGAAGACGATGAAGACGCTTCTTCCGAAAACTCCTTTGTATCTGCCTCTGACGGCCTTCAGTCTGACTATAGGCCAGAGCCTGTGGCTCCCAGACCCAGGCACACCCACCCGAATCAACATAGGCCGTTTATAGCATCGCGAGATACGACAGCCACATCTCAAAGTTCTATGACTGTTAATTCTCTCGCTAATGCTATGGTGGCCTCTGCGTTGGCATCCTCTCGTAGTCAATCGCCGTCGGGGCCTTCGAAGAAATCTGCACCAGCACCACCTCCAACTCGTCGCTCCACGACCTCAATATTCGCCAATGCCCAAGCTCACATGTCGCAATCATCACGCACACCTTCGCCCTCAAAACCCAGCATACAGAAGCACCATACCGGAGGTAAGTCTGGTATGCGTACTACAATGCGCAAAACGCCACGATCATCAGACGATGAGGACGAGGGGATGTTGAAGCGTGGGAGAAAGAATCTAATGAAGAAGCACCCTAATAAACACCATGAGGGTGATCGAAAGCGATGGCGTGATGCAGTGAGCGATCGGGAACGCAAACGTTATGAAGGGCTTTGGGCAAGCAATAAGGGGTTGTTCACGTTTCCCTCCACCGTAACCAAATCTGTTCCCGGAATCACCTCGCCGTCTCCTCGGAGGAATTCGACTATTTCGGCCGCCAAACCAGGGAACGCAGATAGCCTTCGTTCACCGCCAGAAGATTGTGTGTCCAGTCTCGTTGTGCGGGATATCTGGTCGCGCTCGCGGCTGCCCGGTGATGTCCTATCCGATATCTGGGAGCTGGTCGATCGCAGTGGGACAGGGATGTTGTCCAGGGACGAATTCGTGGCGGGGGTGTGGCTCGTTGACCAACGGCTCAAGGGCAGGAAGTTGCCCCAGAGGGTGGGTGACAGCGTGTGGGTTAGTGTAGGAGCACTTGGAGGAGTAAAGGTCAAAGACAAACACGCCAAGGGTGGGCGTAAAGCAAAGCCAGGCGATAGTCGAGATCTGCGATAGCTCGCAAAAATTTACTGCGCTTTCCAAAAATACACTTGAGTAAATGTAAGGAATATATGGCAACGATGTCTGCTTGATGTGACAGTAAACAAAGCTCGCTTCAACCGGCTGAGACTCCAACCCAGCGCAGTGGAACGCCTTCTTCATTTATCTCGTAGATACCGGTAGATGCGCGCCTGGGGGGAAGAGCCCACCTGGCTCGCCCAGGCGCATTTTCGTCTAGTTTCCCATTCTTCCTCATTCTCATCTCCATGACTGCGACCCGGATAAAATCACTGTTCTCTCGCATGTCGCGTTGGCGCGTACCTGGCCCGTTGCACGCTTCTGGAGAGGAATTGCCAGAATGCTTGCTGGTGGCAGTTTCGGCTTCTGTCTTCGGGGCCTTTGACACCTTATTATAAGTTTCCATTTGGATAGAGGCAGTACATTTAGAGCATGTAGTCTGCGGTCGTGATGCATGGACATGAGCCTCGCTGGGTGCATTGGTTGTGGGGTTCAGGTAACGGCGAAGAGCTGGAGTCGGCATTTTATCCAGGCGAGGCGGCATACGCTCATCTGTAAAGGGAACCTTGGGGTCGATGGCAATAATCGATCTAGTAAGAAAATCATCTGGTGTAATCATAGGGGCTGTCATGTTCGAGATGGACTTCGCCGCTGATCTCAATGCTCGCAGGGACGCTGTTAAATTTGATTTGAAGGCCGATTTCTGGCGTAGCGTAGGTATCTCACCCAGCTTCTGGCGTTCTTTATTTTCATTCCCAAACACCCGAAAATCAATCTCCCAGGAATCTAGGTCAGGGTCTGACAAAGGATGATCTAATGGCAGGTCACCCAAGGTAGAAGCTAGCGGTTCGAGCTTTCTAGTCGGCAAGAACCGTTTCCCCCGGGATTGGGGTGAAACTGAAGAACCAAAAGAGAGGTAACTGCCCCCAATGGAGTTGTCGGTAAGAGATGGCACCGAATCTGTGGAAATCGCCCCTCTAGAAATATACGATAGCTGTGGTGGCGATTCAGCATCGCTACCCAATGGATCTATATCTGGCAGCTCATCTGGTGAGCAGAGAAGAAGGTCCAGCGGACTCCCTCCTAGTATTGGGCTGTATTCCTTTTCAGAATCGCTCCTCTCGCTGAACGCAGCATCGAGAGTTAATCTTTGGGCTTGACCGTTTCGCCGAGGTAGTGTCCTAAACCGTGGAGGCGGGATAGTAGTGTTCGCGAGGAGTGATGTGACAGCGGCAGAGGCCTTTCCTTGTGATTGTTGGTCCCTAGATCTAGGACCACTCGTCTCCCCGCCATCGTATCGCCGGCCTTTGGCGCCATGATTTCGCTGGCTGGGATCCCTAACCTGGCGGATGGGGATCCCTACAGGATTGGAGCTGCCCTTCACATTTCCCAATATAGGGTCTGCAGGTATAATTTCCGTGGGATCGCAACCTAAGGCGAGGATTTCTTTCTGTTCATTGCCTGCAGTCGCTCGTTGTGCATCCGATGTTGGAGGTTGTTTTGAGAGAGGAAGTGCAGCAGCGGACTGTTTCGTCGAGCTGAATATAAATGATCGAGGTGCCAGCATGGTCATGCAGAAGCCCAAAAGGTCGAGCTTGGGAGACAGCAGGCGTTACGGGGCGAATGTCTGGTCTAGTGAAGCTGCTCCTCCACCGAACCAACGGGGAAGTCAGGTAAAGGTGGTCGGAGGCATACGAGGCATACGCGAAAAGAGGCGCACAGTCCCATTCGCACTGATGTGCTTTATGGAGATATATAGTTGTTTGAGGGAAATGGCGCTCCCGTTGCCTTGGCGAGTTGTGAATAAAGAAGATAATAATGGTAAAGAAGGAAAGTCGGTGAGTGAAGGGTGTTGAACAGCAAGTAGTAGAAGTCCGTACGGGCTGTGACGAGAGCAGACGAGCAGACGAGCAGGCTTATCGGATAAGGATCGTCCGGGTCGCGGGAGCGATCTCTGTGCAGGATACGTACTGTACTGTGGGTTGTGGGTGGCAACTCGCGTGACTCTGTAGAGTAGAATACCACGTGCCAGGCTCTAAATCCACAAGATAGTAGTACGGATTACTCAGATCAGGATCAAGATGCTCAGTAACTGGCACGAGTAGAATTAAGAAGAGAGAACGAAAGATAATAAATAATATAGCCAGTGCGGTCGGTGGCCTTAATATACATATAACAGATGCTGAAATGTCGACAGATGGGCAGCATAGTACTATAGTACTACTGGTCTACTACTGGTCTACTACTGGTGCCAACGACGACACTAATCTCTCTAATTTCTGTCAATTTACTATGGCTGGTACTGAAGTGGCACTTGACGTTACAGTGATCTCCCAACGAGCGAAAAAAGAAGAAGGTAGGGTTTGGTTTAGGCAGGAGTGCATGTTATACTTACACCAGGGACACAGAGTACCTAGTTGTACTGCATTAGCAGCATAAACATGTGTGTTTACTTTGTACTACAGAAGTATTTGTGTTCTTTACTAAAGTATCGCTTATAAAACTCTTAACACCTTCTTTATTAGTGGATAGATATATCAGCTGTAGAAGTAGATATAGTAGGTCACGTGAAGGTCAGCTGACTACCACCTCGGCACAGTAATCACAATATATCTGCACCAACAGAGCCACCACAGATCACGTTACCACGCGTCACTTTCGACCCACTCACTCCATCTGTTGTGACGCGCCTGATACGTCACACATCCCTCCAGCAGCAGAGAAGCCTAGGAGCTTCATTTGGCTACGAGTAACCAGTCTCGTAAATAATGCTACCAGCGACCAGTGACCAGTGATCAGTGACCGGTGACTAGTCTGCACTCTAATTGTTTAAGTTAATTCTTCTTTGATCACAGTCTCCACCACCTAAACACTAAACAAAGGAAAGCCATGTCCAGCCAAAGAGCACCACGGCATATCGATAAGGAGGCGCGCGAAGACGATGATCTCCAATATGGCCATGGACCCTTGAGTAAGGAAGAACTCGAGGCCAAGTGAGTCAAAACCCACCTTTTATGGGCCCCATATTGCGATGAGACCTTACTCACTGGCCCACTATCAAAATCAAGGTATCCAAACCGCCCTCTCAACCACCACAAGACCCTCCCGTTCCATGAACTCTTGGTCTCTCTCTTCACGCCATTGAGCGAGAACAAGAAGAAGCCAACCGGCCCCTCAGCTGCCGGTCGCGCCAAACGTGGGCCTCACGGGCCAACCCATCAATCTCCTCACGAAGTCCGCCGCATCATTATCGAGCGTTTTATTTCTCGGTGGAGGAGCGAGGTCGGCCATGACTTTTATCCCGCATTGCGTCTTATTATTCCCGAGAAGGACCGTGACCGTGCGATGTATGGGTTGAAGGAGAAAACAATCGGCAGGCTACTTGTTAAGCTAATGAAAATCGATAAGAACTCTGAGGATGGCTATAATCTACTCAATTGGAAGCTGCCAGGCCAGACATTCGCGAGTAGGATGGCAGGAGACTTTGCGGGAAGATGCTTTGAGGTACTGTCAAAGAGACCGATGAGGACATCAATGGGCAATATGCGGATTGCAGAGGTCAACCAGCTGCTGGACCAGTTATCTTCGGCGCCTAAAGAGGAGGCGCAACTACCAATTTTTCAGATATTCTATAATAGGATGAACGCTGATGAACTGATGTGGTTAATTCGAATAATCCTCAGGCAAATGAAGGTTGGTGCCTCGGAGAAGACATTCCTTGATTTGTGGCACCCAGATGGAGAAACTTTATTCAATGTTTCCTCAAGTCTTCGCCGGGTTTGTTGGGAACTCACGGATCCTTCCATCCGTCTGGAAGGCAACGAGACAGGAGTTACACTCATGCAATGTTTTCAGCCACAATTGGCTCAGTTCCAAATGCATTCATTTCAGAGAATGGTCGACAACATGAGGCCTACCCCGGAAGACACCGAGTTCTGGATTGAGGAGAAACTGGATGGCGAAAGGATGCAAATGCACATGGTCGAGGATGATTCAGTTCCAGGGGGCAGGAGGTTTGGGTTTTGGTCCCGAAAAGCTAAAGACTACACCTACCTCTATGGCAGTGGGATCGAGGATGAAAATGGCGCTATAACGAGACATTTGAAGAAAGCCTTCGATTCGGGTGTTAGAAACTTGATCCTCGACGGCGAAATGATAACCTGGGATCCCGAGGCAGATATAATGGTCCCATTCGGTACTCTTAAAACTGCTGCCTTGTCTGAACAGCGCAACCCCTTTGCTGGCAATGGCCCGCGCCCACTCTTCCGAATTTTCGACATCATCTACTTGAATGATGAACCTTTAACTCAGTATACTCTTCGTGACCGACGCCGAGCCCTCGAAAGATGCATCACGAACGTTTATCGAAGATTTGAAGTTCATTCTTATACCTCAGCACATTCTGTCGAAGCCATAGAGCCTCTGCTCCGGAAAGTCGTGGCAGAAGCTTCTGAAGGTCTAGTGCTAAAGAATCCTCGCTCCATCTACCGCCTCAACTCGCGTAATGACGACTGGATGAAGGTGAAGCCAGAGTACATGACTGGCTTTGGCGAGTCTCTAGATTGCATCATAATTGGTGGTTATTATGGGTCCGGGCATCGGGGAGGCCGTCTTTCGAGCTTTCTTTGTGGACTAAGGGTTGACCAGAACCACATACAAAAGGGGGCAGATCCGATGAAGTGCTATTCGTTCTTCAAGGTTGGAGGCGGGTTCAAAGCCGAGGATTACGCCAATATTAGACATCACACAGAGAATAAATGGGTGGATTGGGACCCAAGGAAGCCGCCCATCCACTTAATCGAACTAGCAGGAGGTGAAGCTCAGTTCGAAAGGCCAGATGTATGGATCAAACCTTGCGACTCAGTAGTTGTATCCGTTAAGGCCGCCTCCGTATGCGCCAGCGACTCGTTTAGGGTTGGTTTGACGCTACGCTTTCCGCGCTTCAAGCACCTACGGATGGACAGGGACTGGAGTACTTCACTGAGTATTCAAGAATTCATAAATTTGAAGTCAAGATTGGAAGAGGAAAGCAGAGAAAAGGAATTCACGGTTGACACTCGACGCAAGGCGGCGAAGACATCTAAGAAGCAACTTCTAGTCGCAGGGAATGATAATAAAGCGACCAAGCCATATGCGGGACATGGCTCAGACGCGTTCCACGGCCTGAATTTCTGCGTGCTGAGTGAAGCTACAAAGTTGCCGAAAAGGAGCAAGGCGGAGCTAGAACAGTTCATTAAGGCAAATGGCGGCTCCATATTTCAGAGTCCTACGATACAAGCAGATACGATCGTTATTGCAGATAAGAAAGTTGTGAAGGTGGCCAGTTTAATCAAGAGCGGATTACAGAACGTGGTGAGGCCAAGATGGCTGTTTGATGCCGTTCAGCAGCACGAGATTGATCTTGGGCGGGAGGGGCAGTTGGTGCCTTTCGAGCCACGACATATGTTTTACACGGTCCAGCATGAGGTAGAAAGGATCCAGCAAAATGTCGATAGGTTTGGTGACAGCTATGGGCGCGACGTGGGGCCTGCAGAGTTGAAGGAAATATGCGATGACATGCCCAAGGAAGAGCTGGGAAGTGGTGTCGAAACAGACGCACTGTTAAGTCAGCTACAGGGGCAGCACCATGATCTCGGTTTGAGAGACATGAAGGGCTTTATGTTCTCGGACTTTCATGCATATATTGCTAGCTGGCAAAGAGGCCAGGGAGTAGTAGATTTGGGTGAGGACGATCTACGGTGCCTGTTAGTGGAACATAAGTTAAGATTTGGGTTGGCAAGTGTCATATCGGACTTGGAGGATGCAAGTATCACGCATATCGTTGTGCAGGAAGGTGTTGACAAGTTGAAATCTATCAGGGAGAAAATTTCGCATAGGAAGGTAGTGCCACGAATTGTCACACTAGAGTGGGTTGAGGACAGTTGGAGGGAAGGAACACTTTTGGATGAAGATAGATATGCACCAAGAGGTTAGGGTTTCGTTTGCCACACCGTCTGGTTGAAATTAGCCTCCAGGATGCAACCTATAGAGGAATAATCACTACTAGAGTAATGACAAGGACTAGACAGGTGCCATCCCTCTTATTCTCAGTCCATAGCAGGTTCAGTACCTCTAAACGCCAATATCATACCTCACTCACTCAACCCTAGTTTACTTCCCAATAGTCAGGAACAACCTATCGCCCACATCGCCAAAGCCTGGACATATCATCCCCTTCTCATTAACATCATTGTCCAATCCGGCAAGCCAGATCTCTGTTCCCTCAGGCCATTCTGCTGCTGCTCGGATCACTCCCGGGAGGGCTCCTAAAACGGCCAGCACAATCACTTTCTCGACACCCCATTCTCGTAGCGTTTGAATGGCCGCTGCACATGTACCGCCTGTGGCAATGACGGGGTCAAGCAGGATCGCGAGTTTCGAGGCAGATGAGTTGCGAGCGGGAGCTGCTGATGGAGAGCTAGCACCTGGGATATGGTAGGGCAGATTGTTGTAGTACTCGACGGGAGAGAGGGTTGTGGGCTCGCGGAAAAGCCCCAGGTGGTGAACGGGAACCGGTTCTGGGAGGACGGTTTGGATGGCTTAACGGACGTCAGCATTGGCAGGATGTTAGACTAGATTCGGAGCAGAGAGTTAGACAAACCATCGAGCATGCCAAGACCTGATCTCAGAATTGGGACTAGGGATATTGACTCTGGAGCTAGTGTAGAGGTGGTATATTCATAGCCAAGAGTGGTTTTCTCCTAGGTTACGTATCAGATATGGGTATAGAAATGCAGGACACACTCCTCATACGCACAATGGGTCCATCTCTCACAGTCAATCCAGCTGCCGTGGCTTCGACTGCTATAATGGTTGATATCTCGTGCAACAAAGCCCTGGTTTCACGGGCACCGGCTTTGGTCGATCTCAGTTGTGAAAGCTTTGCTTGCACGCATGGATGCCGGGATATGTGGACAGTTGCTGGCAAGGAGGTGGCGGACATATTGGCAACCACTGAAGCTATAACCACGCGTATTAGCAACAGTTAAAACAGGGAGGTTGGGGAAGGGGTTGATGGGGACAACAGGGGACGAGGGAAAGAGGAGAAGAGGGAGGTATATACCAAAGTACACGGGAGGAACGGGTTGATTATTAGCAAAGTGAGATTGACGATTATATATTGGAACGAAGAAAGAACAAATGGAGTATTCTGGTGGAGGACAAACGAGGTTGAGTAGACATAAGAGTAAGTGTAAGTAAGATGGCGGGGGGGATGATGAGGCGGAGAAGGCGACTTGTACGGTCTAAGAGTAATTACAGCAGTAGGGCAGCACAGCAGCAGTACAGGAGGAGTACAGTAGTATCTATCACTTATCTCTTCCCATCACACACAGATATATACAAATATATACATGTCAGGTAAGTCACTATGCACTTGGTACAGGGGTAATAACCACTGCAAAACATGATTTATCACCCATTTACCACTGCTGATTGTGCTAATTGTGCTGGATTATGTGCTGGATTATGTGTAGAATTATGTATAGTATGCACAGTATGTACATCTAGCTGTTGTACTGGTACAAGAGCAAACATGCGGGGTATGTACTCCTTATCAGCGACTCAGACATGCAGTCGCACTGCATCCATCTTTCGTCATCTTTTTCTCATACTAAACCACAGCACTGCATACACTATTTACTATTTTACAACGGCGCTTGGGGAAATATAGCAATTATAGAGGAATTATACAGTAAATAGTTTGGAGATCTTATAAAGACATATATATATCATACTCCAGCACCCAGTTTAAGCTCTGCACTCTAGCTTGCCACTAGTTTACAACGGGAGATACGCTAAAGTGGCTCGCTAACTCCGCTGCGCCAAACCTAATCCAACGTCGTCGTCATTATGAAAATAGTTGCCATGGCATAGCAACGTCCAACCTCCAGCCTCCATTTCCTCTTACTATACAGCAGCCTATACCACAAACTCCTATCGCGAACAACCACAACCAACCCATACTGTACGACCACATCCTGCACGGCATTGCACGGCATTGCACACAAACACCAGCCCACCTACACACGCTGTGTCACATAGCCACAGCTGCACCGATGCCCCATCACCACCACCCAACCGCTACAATGTCCCCCCCGCCGCCAACCTCCGAAACAACGCCTCTTCTCCCCTCCAACTCGGCGCCCGAGCCTGCCCCCCGCGAGACGCGCTCTGTGACCTTCAACCCGACACCCTCTGTGGCCACCATCCCGCCCACGCCCATGCCCATGCTCTCGGCGCTGAACCACCGCCTCCGGCGGCGCAACAGCTCTGGCGCGCCCGCTGGCTACAGCCCCTCGCCGCTGGGCCCCAATCCCATCCCTGCATCCAAGATCGGCCCGCAGCGCACATCGAAAACAGCACAGAAGCTGAAGCTGCTGCCCAATCCCGACTTTGGCGAGGAAGGCCCCGATGAGGAGAGCGGGCGTGATGTGTACTCGCAGTACACGCGGATTAAGGACCCAACGGCGCGGCGAGATGCAGCACGGCTAGGGAAGGCGGACCGGGAGCGGCTGCCGCGTGTTACGGCGTATTGTACAGCGAACCGATACCGGATGGATAGGTTAATGCAATTTCTCAAAGGCCGCGGGAAGGGAAGAGGTGCGGCGCCAAGGCTGTTTGATGAGTGTATCTACACACCATATAATTACGGGAAGGGCGGGGTAGGTGGGAAGACAGTGCGGTCTGCACCAGTGAGGGAGGCACCTGCTGAGACGATGGAGCGACGCTATTCGGATTCCGTGGTCGAAGTCGAGGGGCGGCAAGAGGACCTCATCTCCCTCGCAGCCGCAGACGAGGATGTCCCTGATGCACTGCTCCCGCCACCCGCTGCGCCGCATGTGATAGAAGAGGAGGATACACCCGACTTCGATACGACAGTCCATGTCCCCGAAATTTTTATATTCGCGTACGGTGTAGTTGTGATCTGGGGCATGAGCGTAGCGCATGAGCAACGGTTTTTGGGAGAGCTGGCACGGTTTGAGGAGGAGAAGTTGGGGCGCGATGACATAGAGGCAGAGTGCTTCAATTTTTACTATACGCAGGAGTACCAGGCGCGGGTGTACAATGACTTCATTACGCTGAGGGAGAAGACGAATTACATGGTTAAGCTGGCAATTAGCCACGCGCTTGCGCAGAGTGTTAAGGTATGCCCCCTTTTTATCTCCGACTATATACTAAGCTAACAACTACACAGACATCCCTCTTTGAGGAGCTTGTCGACAATACCATCACAACTTGCCAGGACATCCCCGCAAGCATCGCGCGTACCGGCACAATCGCGCTCTCGCGAAAAGAGATCAACATGCAGATTGGCGAGCTGTTCATCCTGCGGATTAGCATCCACCTCAACGGCTCTGTACTAGATACGCCAGAACTTTTCTGGGTAGAGCCGCAGCTAGAGCCAGTGTATCAGGCAGTGCGAAGCTATCTTGAGATGGACCAGCGGGTACAGCTGCTAACGGAGCGGCTCGACGTCATTGCAGATCTGCTGGCAGTGTTGAAGGAGCAGCTGACCTCTGGGCATGGGGAAATGCTAGAGTGGATTGTGATTGTGCTTATTGCGGCAGAAATTGCAGTAGCGTTAGTAAATATCTTTGTCGATTTACAGGCAGGCGTTGATTAGATGGTTCATGAGGGCGTTTTATAGACAAGGCTTGTTTGGTAAAGGCGTATTTTTTTAGGTTATGGACAGGTTTCATGTTATATCTATATCTCACTGCGTCATAAGTTAGTTATGTTCCACCAACTATTCTAGTTAACCTGCTAAGTTAATTACCTACCATCCTCAAATATAGGTGATCTAAGTAACGTAAGTCGTGGCGTAACGGGACGGATGGCGTAACGGGACGCTTTCTACACCCCACCAAAATCTAGGACTAAACCACCAAACTACTAACTTAGAAAATCGCAAATAATTCAATTACTACCACCCTAATTCATCTATATCATCCTCCGAAGGCTCTTCTTCGCTCTCTTCATCTATTTCCTCAATTATAGCCTCGTTTATAGGTCGTGGCGTTGTTCTAGGCCTCTGTGAAGCTGTGGCTGTTGCTGCTTCTGCTTCTATAACTTGCGACTGGAGTTCTTCTGTAGAAATGTGGAATTGACCCTTTAAAACTGCTCTTTTACCCTTATTCTGTACTCTACGCTTCTGAATAATTGAGCGTAAGTTATCACTCTCTCTTTTTTGAAGGGTATTGCGTGTATTAAGGCGTTCTGACTCATCTGCTAACTT